CAGTCAGTGAAGTGGCAGCTCAGGTACCTTTATAATCTTCTGACCTCAAGCTTGAACCTCCATGTTCCTTCATCTGACCCACAAATCTAATATCTGTTGATCTATAATCCACTTAAATAGATACTGGTCAGATTTGATTTGAACACAGCCTCAATGTACAAACATTTGTAGCAGCTAAACAAAAGTATAACATTTAAATTATTTAAATTTTTGTGTTATTTTGGTTCACTTTAGGAAAAGTCATCAAACTTCCGGCTAAAAGAAATTGAGGGTATTTTTGGTGCTGTCTAATGTCAAAACGGGTCAAATTTGACCCGAACAGTTTGTAAGAGTTAAAATAAATACAGGCATTAATTAAGTCATAATTAATTGAGGTATTTGTAGCAGTAGCTAACTGTCTAGCTTGTTTCATACACTTTACATTCTTGCCTTGAGAGTTGCTGAATTATATCATGTCAAGTATCTACGGATGAACGCCCATGTTAGCTAGTTTCTTCTTTAAGTTACAGCTTAGCTAACTATAGCTAATTTCTAACTTTTGCTTTACAGTTTAACTAATGATAGCTAGTTTTCTAAGTTTAGCCTTACGTAACAGTTTAAATAATTTTATCTAGTTTCTAGGTTTAGCCTTAAGTCACAGTTAAAATAACTAATGTTAGCTAGTTTCTCATTTAGCATTAAGTTACAGTTTAGCAAACTAATGTTAGCTAGCTGATAGCACACCCTTTCATTTCCAGTGTTAGCTTGTCATTTCATTACCAATATAAAATGTCATATATGATCTAATGTTGCAAACACTGGAGCTCAGTCATGGGCAGTGAGACAATGGAGGATTAGTTTCCTCTATAATAGACACAACCTTTGTTTTCACTCAGGAATTCAGGAGTTTTACCTGTTGGGTCATTGACGATATTTTTTACTGAAATATTTCCATCTTATGCTACTTTATACTTCAACAACATTAAAACCAGTTACCTGTTATACAGTATGTACTGATTATACTGATAATTAAACCAGTTATTACATCTGTATATGGAGGATTTAAAATGATGCTTCACAATAACAAGAGTAACACTCATCATCAACAACTTCAGTTTACAGTGTGTGTGAAGAGCAGAGATCAGCTGATCACACCTAACTCAGGTGTTCTGTGTGATTCTGTTTGTTAGTGTAACGAGCAGCTGGTCAGTTAATGAGGTCACTTGAGAGCAGCTTGTTAGTCAGCTCTCATTAGGACCAGCAGCTCATTAGTCTTCAGGGTCCGGCTCCCTCAGGACTAACATGGACATCATTACATCATCTCCATGTTGTTTACCAGACCTGATCCTCTCTGTGACCTCTGACCCCTCACACTCAAACCAGCACACCTGAACAAGTGTAGTTTTAACGCATGTGTTCAGACGACACCTGAAACACAACAGTCTGCTTCTGTCACAAGCTCAGATGGAGTTAATGTACAAGCTGAATCTGAATCCTGGGGGGTCAGGGTTTATTTCAGAACCACAGTCCTGAATAACCTTAGACCAATTCCTCTCCCATCTGTGGTGATGAAAAGCTTAGACAAATAGATCCTCAGGCCAACCCCTGGTGGCTCATCACATCCTCAACTCTCTGCTCTCATGCATCAAGCAAATTGAGACACTGTGTAGGTAAATGTAAGTAGCAGTAACTATCTAGCTATACACTTTACTTTCTTAACTTCAGAGTTTCTGAATTAGATACAGATAAATGCTAATGTTAGCTAATTTCTAAATTTAGCCTTAAGTCACAGTTTAACTAACTAATGTTAGCTAGTTTCTAACTTTATCCTTAAGTTATGTTGAGCTAACTAATATTATCTAGTTTCTACTTTTAGCCTTAAGTTACATTGAGCTAAATAATGTTAGCTACTTTTTATCTTTAGCCTTTCGAGTTAATGTACAAGTTGAGTATGAATTCTGGGGGTCAGGGTTCATATCAAAACCCCACAGTCCTGAGGGACCTTGAACTGGTTCCTCTACTCTGCGGTGATGAAAAGCTTAGAGGTCAGCAGAGGGTCAGCAGTTATTTTCAATCTTTAAAAACACCTGGGGGAAACTTCAGGTGGCCAGGAGGGAAACATGGCCACCAGTTTAGCTAACTCATATTACCTAGTTTCTAACTTTAGCCTCATGTTAGTCATGAGCTCAGATGGAGTTACTGTACAAGCTGAGTTTGAATCTTGGGGGATTAGGGTTTAAATCTCCATTTTGCTAAGAATTCTTGACTGCAGAGGAATATTATATTATATTATATTATATTATATTATATTATATTATATTATAATCAAAATTAACGCGTTAACGCGAGACAATTAATTTGTGGAATTAACTCGATAAAAATTTTAACGCATTAACGCATGCGCAGAATGACCCGCCCCGTATATCCCACAATTCAACCCACTCCGTCCACTCGTCGTCGCTTTAACGTTATGGCTGATTGTGACCCGAACGAGATGGAAGCATCAGAAGAACCTGGTGGCCCTTTGGATGGACAGTTCAAGTATAATAAAAACCGAGATGGAACAATCCATAAACACGTTGTGATTTGCACACACTGCAGGAAGGAGTTTTCGTTTCACCGAAGCACCTCAAGCTTAAAGTATCATCTCAACGCCAAGCATGTATTTGTCGGGGCTTCAACTTCAGGTGTAACGCCTGGCTTGCGGCAGACCACCCTCACCGAACACAGGGCATTAAGTAAGTCTACCTCTGACAAGTTGACTGACACGATTTGCCAAATGGATTGCCAAGGCCTGTAGACCGATTAATATTGTCGAGGACACGGGCTTCAGAGATGTTCTGAAAGTTGCAACTCTCCACGTGTTTTACAAGCCACCGTCAAGAGGCACAGTAATGACTACAATCCACGAACTCTATGTAGCTACAAAGAAAACTAAGGAGGAGGATTTGGCTTCAGCGGATTATGTCGCCCTGACAGGAGACCACTGGACCTCTGTGAGTAACAATAATTATCTGGGTGTAACTGCACATTACATCACTAAAACCTGGGGACTGACGTCGTTTGCGCTAATCGCAAACGCCTCAGAGCTGCAAGCACAGCAAGCGGCCCTGGGACAGCAGCAGGAGCCACTGATCCAGGACGTTTCAACACGTTGGAATTCAACACTGAAAATGGTCAAAAGTCTGAACCGCAATCAAGCAGCAATAAAAGCAACCCTGGACCAACAACACAACAAACTATGCTGACGCCACCAGAATGGGACAAACTGCAGCGACTGAAAACTCTTCTAGAGCCCTGTAGGTAAGAAATCCACATATAATGTGACTATTAGTTTAAATTAAAAATTAAATTGAACTGATTAAATTCAAATTAAATGTTAATTTATTTGTTAATGTACCAACTTGCGTTCTAATAACTTACTGTATCTGTGTGTGTGTGTGTGTGTGTGTGTGTGTGTGTGTGTGTGTGTGTGTGTGTGTGTGTTATTCTACTGCAGGTATGTAACTGAGATTCTGGGTGGAGAGGCCTACGTCTCCTGCTCAGTATTACTGCCTGCCCTCTGCCACTTGCGTCATGTAATGGAAGTCTCCGATGAAGACCCTGCATATGTGGGGAGATTTAAGACGACATTCAAGGAAGATCTAGGCTCCCGCCAAGAAATTCCAACAATGCATGGCTCAAGCTTTCAACGGCGCTGGATCCATGCTTCAAAGACTTGAAGAGCCTGCCCAAGAGTGAGAGAAGAGGTGTGGACCACACTTGGAGGCATGCAGCATGAACAATCACCCAGAAGGTCTCTGCAGACCTCTCAAGATGGGCCACCCAGGAAGAAAATGAGTCTTCTCCAGATGGGCTCAGATTCAGAATCAGATGAAGAGGTGCAGCCTGACAGAGCCATACACAGGTACAGAGCAGAGCCCAGCATCAGTATGGAGGACTGCCCCTTGCAGTGGTGGGCTGCTCATTCAGGCGCCCATGACAAGCTGGCTCTGCTTGCCCGCAAATATCTAGCCGCTCCTGCATCCACAGTTCCATGTGAAAGACTCTTCTCAGTTGCAGGCCACATTGTTCACAAGAAACGGTCAGCTTTACATTCAGAAAATGTTAACCAGTTAGTTTGCCTCAGCAACTGGCTAAAAGAAGGTAAAAGGGCGACATTTAATTGTGTGAAAGTGCAGTTGTTTGTTTAAGAGAAAAGAAAAAAGTTTCATCCATCCAGCCTATATTTTCTAAAAAAGAGCAATGGCTAAGATGCACAAATTGTTTAGAATTAAGGTTATCTTTTAGTTTGATTAAAAAAAAAAAAAAATCTGAATAACACATCCTGTATTCATATATAGGAGATAGCCAAATTGAGTTATTTTTCAATCTCAGTAATAACATCATTTGGATTTGTTATAAATAAAAAACAAATGTTAAATATATATCCACCTCCTGTCATTTATCTTTCCGTTCCAACAACAATATACAGAGATAATGTGAAATTTTCGGTCATATTTAGGAATGTTGATTAATCATAATTAATCCACAGCTACCCTGTGATTAATCAGATTAAAAATTTTAATCGTTTGACAGCCCTAATTATTATATTATACAGGCTGTGAACTGAACAACTGGTTAAATATCAATAATGTGCAGCTGAAACTTTGTATCACAAATGAAACTGAGACTCAAAGTGATGATGAAAGAATGTGTCAGATGTTTTTCATGTTGTTAAACCTGGTTAATTGAAGCCTTCATTAACACAAAGCGTGATGAAGATGAAGGTGCAGCTGAAGAGTGACCTGTAGTTTAATGAGCTCCACAGAGGATGAGGAGTGTCTGATAAAAGCAGCAGAGGAAACAGAGACTGACACATGAAGCAGATTCCACAGGTGGAGAACCTGTTCACACGTTCTCACTTATTTTACATTTACTGATGATGATGATGATGATGATGATGATGGTGAGGATGATGATGATGACTGTTGACTGTTGAACACACTCATGTTCTCCTGTTGTTCTGCTGGCTGTCCCCTATGAGTTCATCCGGGTTGAACGTGACCTCTGTGACCTCATCGTCAGTGACGCTGGACGGTCTCGTGCAGCTGTCTGATCACAGGTGGCTCTTCTTCTCCGTGTTTTCGGCGGTCTACCTGTTCGTGCTGTGTAGTGACGGTCTGGTGGTTTACGTCATCTGTTCTCAGCGGAACCTCCCCCGCCCGATGTTCGTGTTCGTTGCCGCGCTTCTGCTGAACTCTCTCGCCGCTAGTGCGTCGATTTATCCCAAGCTTTTGACGGACCTACCGTCCGGTCGCCGCTTCGTAGAGGTTTCCCGCGCTGCTTGTCTGTGTCAGGCCTTCGTGGTGGGCTCACTGGGCGGCTCCGGCTTCATGCTGCTAGCGACCATGGCCTTGGACCGCTACCTGTCCGTCTGCCGCCCGCTGCGCTACGCCGCGCTGTTGACTCCTGCCGCAGTGTCGGCGCTGCTGCTGTTCTGCTGGCTGCTGCCCGCAGGCGTGGTAGGCGTCGCGGCGCTGTTGGCCGGCCGCCTGCCGCTCTGCCGCTCTGAGCTCAGCAGAGTTTACTGCAACATCTACAGCTTCGTCAGCCTGAGCTGCGGCGGCGGCGCGGCGCAGCTGCTCAATGTGTACGGCATGGTGAGCGCCGCGGCCGTCGTCTTCCTGCCCGCCGCCTTCGTGCTCTTCTCCTACGGCAGGATCCTCTCCATCTGCCTGCGCCGCTCTCGGGCCTTCAGCAGCAAAGCGCTTCACACCTGTCTACCGCACCTGCTTGTCTTCATCAACTACTCTCTGAGCTTCGCCGTGGAGATGCTGCTCCAGCGGCTGGGGGCCGGGAGCGGTCCCGCCACCTCCGTCCTGGTCTCCATCCTGTTGTTGGTGATCCCGACCCTGTTCAACCCGGTGGTGTACGGACTGAAGATGAAGGAGATCTTCACACACATGAAGAGGCTGCTGAGCTGCAGCAGAGCTGATTGATAAGTGTGATCGATAAACAGTCTGATCAGTGTGACTGATAAACATCTGCATTCTGAGTCTCCAGCTGTTTCACTGTGAGCTGCAGTAAAAGGAAATGTAAAAATACTGACACATCAGTAAATATGAGTCCAGACATTTATTTTGATATTTTTCCTTCCTGACTTTTCATCAGTTTGGACCTTTTTCTGGCAGAAGTGAACTTCCCTATAGATGAGACACAAACCAGTATTACATGGTCACACCTCATTATGACTTTGTCATTACTCTGTGAACATGTCTACTGTGCAGAAACCATTATAATGAAAGATAAATAATAACATCAAAGAGTCATGATCACCTGAATGTTGTTACATTTAAAGAGATTTGTTTTTCATGTGCAGCTGATGTTTTTCTTCCTGCTTCAGTAAAGATCAAACTAAACAAAGTCTTAAACAAATAAATGTCACATGTCAGAATTTTTGAGTTAGGTTTGAGAGGAGAATATTGTATTTTGTTAATATTATTCTTACTTCATTTTCAAGTCATTAAATGTAAAAAAAAATCTCAAAAGTGATTTCAAATGTTTGATATTAAGAAGAAACAATATAGAAAGAAAGTAAAATTTCAAATGTCATGAAGGTTTAAATACATCTATGATAATGATAATATAATGATAATATTTTTTATTTAATTATTTTTATTATTAACAGGAGTCATTGAAGAAAGAAGCAAAAATGAACATGTACAACACAGACACACAGATAATTCATAAACATTATAGATTTTCATGTAAAAAAAGCATGTGCAGGTCTGATTGTAAATACATAAATACAACCTTTAAAATGTTTCAGTGAAATGAGAGGATGTCTGCAGCACAGTATTTATATATATCTAACAACATACAGTGCTGCTCCTATGTATGGAGGGGTGTGTATTGTGTACATACATATCTACACCATATACTATGTATGTGTATATATATATATATATATATATATATATGTAAAATATAGATGTATATACTATATAGATGTATAGATGTGGTTCAGCCAAGCTTCAACCAACTTTACAGCAGAAATCAACATGTTTACAGCCTGGTACAAAAACTGTTTTGGTCTCTAGAGCTAATTTCCTCCTGCATGACACCTGTTTATATAACTCACCTGTTTACAATTTATTAAGGACTACAGTTATGGAGAATTGAGGGTGTGGCCTCTTTGAGTGACAGGTGGGTGAGCATATGTTTTCCACAAACCGGCATGTCCACAAACGCCCCTCCTCTTTGACCATATTTGGATTAGCCGGAGTTCGGCTGAGTCAATTACTGGCAAGATGGTGGCGGTGGAGTAGCACACTCTGAGCTTCAAACCCACTCTTCAGAAACCTTTAGGTGACGTCACACAGGCTCTGTCCATCTTTATTTACAGTGTGGATTCAGCTCAGCAGGACTGGCAGGAGACATCTGTCAAACCGGATCTTGCAGGACTGAACTGACTCCAGCAGGTGGCAGCAGCCAGGCTGACAGATGTGAGCACAGTCCAGCATTTGTTAGGAGCAGCATCCCCCCATGGTTATTTTCACAACCCCAAATAAACTTACAATTACTAGAGAAGAGGAGAGAGTTGATAATGATATTTTACCTATTAAATTTGGGAGATCAGAAGCTAAGTCAATAATTCAGCATGAAATTATGGTAACATGACAGGAAATGTGGAATAACAATACCAAGGGAAGGGAGTATTATAAAATTCAGAGATCTGTTCAGGTTAGAAATATTAGAAACAAATGCAGGAAAGAGGATGTTACTTATTCTAGGTTGTGATTAGGACACACAGGACTTAATTCAACTTTATACATAATGAACAAGATAGGGTCAGATAAATGTGACATATGTAACAGTAGAGAATGTAGAGCACGTACTCATGGACTGTAGAGAGTTTAGTGTAGAAAGAGAGAGACTTATGGCTAGAGTGTTGGATATATAAATATATAGAGGGGGAAAGGGCTGTTAGAGAGAGGGCATAAACAGGAACACCCTAGGAGGCCTTTATTCAAGTATTTAAGTGAAACACGTTTAATTTCCAGAATTTAACTTCTCAATAAAGTCATGCTGTAATATTCTCAGTACAGTAGGTGGCGGCATGCACCTCTAACATGGCTTTGTTGCCCACGAGAAGATCACAAGAAGAAGAAGAAGAACATGTGAGCATGCGCAGCTGAATGAGCTGTGGCGACAAATTGGTTGCGGAGAAAAACAAGTTGGAAGCCGGAGCAGATTTTTATTTTTGTTTTTATTCGCCTCCGGGAAAACACGATGGCCGGTACCGCGCTGAAGAGACTCATGGCGGAGTATAAACGTGAGTGAACCGAACCACCGCGTCATAAGGCCGCCTGGGGCCAGGGGGACAACTTGTAGCGGTAGCAAACATGCTAAGCTAACTGCCACGGAAGTCCCTGTAATCCTGCTGCACCAAACTCCATAAAGAAAATACGCCATTTTAAAGTTCCCCCTGCTCCGCTGCATCAGGGGGAATTACTGCAACATAACTGGCTTATTATGAAAAGACGAGATGTCCGTTTAATTCGGCGCCATTTCCGCCACCCACAACAAACACGACGACAACAAACTGTCTTCATGTGACGTGTTGGTACAGCTCGTCATCCACAATGAGCTGCTTCTGCTCTCAGACCGAAACTATTTCACTGATCTCAAACCTTTAGATAAATTTAAATAAAGCAGTGTCCGCTGTTGTTCTGTGTTGTAAACAGAATTGAAGATTAAAGGTGATAAACAGGTCGAAAACTGGTGTTAAGGTTATTATTTTTGCTAGTTTTTTAAATGGAGTTTGGTGCATGTATTTACTAGATTAGCTAGTGGAACTGGGAGATTGGATTTAATATCAGATCCATATTTATCAGTTTTAACAGGTTTGTGATAATTTAACTGGAATTAGTGTTAGCAGCTGTTGGCATGTTAACTGAGATGTCATTTAAACCACAGAGAGAGAGTGTATTGGTTCTGGTCCGGACCTGGTCTGATGTGGTCTGGACAATAAGTAGTTTCCCTGAAGTACTGAATCATAAACTAACTAAAGATCAGAGGTCAAGACCCGATTTTACAGTATGCTAACCTGTGTGTGTGTGTGTGTGTGTGTTGTGTTGTGTTTCAGAGCTGACTCTGAACCCACCTGAGGGGATTGTTGCAGGTGAGACTTTCTGACACACAAACATGAACACAGGTTCAACACAAAGACCTCAGCTGATTTTCGCAGCTTCATAAAATGATACAACAACTTTCATAATTGAAATAATAATTTAAGGTTAATTAATTTGTAATCGGCAACAGAGACAACAATGTAAAAAAGTTTCTGAAACACCGGTGAAAATAAAACAACACAGTAACAACTAGGGGTGGGCGATATGACGATATTAGATCGTGAAGGATTACAACGTGAAGACGATCTTTCAAACTGCAGAGATCGTGGGATCGTCTCGGGCACATTCTATAAATTGCAGTTCTATGCTGACGCACCGACGCACCAGACGTATTGACGTCGTCAACCTGACCGACCAATCATAGCGAATTACGGGCAGTGACGCACTTTCCTACCCGCCTCCTTGTTTGTGTGTGTAGCGGTAGCACATGGAGAGCGATGGCTGAAAGCCAAACGGAGTTGGTCGCTAAGAAAACTTCCACCTCCATTATATGGAATTGGTTTGGATTTTCCGCAACTGATCAAGCGCAAGCAAATGTAATCTGCAAAGTTTGCACAGAAACCGTTCGCACGTCGGGTGGTAACACGACGAACCAGAATGTTGTTGTTGTTTACCTTAAACTTTACGTTGTTTGCACATGCAGGCAAAACTGCGACTATTTGAAATAAAATCTGTTAAGAAAGGTTCTTTGGTCTAAATTGTCTGTTTTTCTTTTTCCAATTTAAGATCGTGATAAAATCGAAATCGTGATTTTATTTTTAAAAAATCGTGATATGATATTTTTGCCATATCGCCCACCCCTAGTAACAACACACTGATTCGTGCAGCGTGAGGTCAGGCAGAGGCCGACTGTCCTGACCATCACTAACTCCACTCTTCAGGGAAGCTGAAGTTTTCTTCCAGTAGAACAACAGCTGGTCACATGGTCACACATGTAGTAAACACGCACAGTTTACCTGGCTGTGGATGAGGAGTACAAACTGTCAGATTTTCAGATTCTAATGTTTTTTGAGCAGCAGGTGGAGCTGCAGTGACAGAGGTTTCCCATGGAGTTTCCTCCAACACGATCTTTGAGACCCCTCACCTCCACCTGTGATCAGAGGAACAGGTGTAACACTGGTCAGGAACTCCACAGGAAACCTTTAACACAAAATGTAAATGAAAAACGACCAGAGTTGATTCAGGATTAAAGTCACAGTCTGTAATTTAAACATGTTAAATTTGTGAATATAACTGTCACCTGAGAGCTTCGGCCTTCACTGTTGCCGATAGCGATCAATCAACATGTCTCCATCAATCAGCTCTGATCAGTCACTCCTTACTCACAAGCAGCAGCATTATTAAGATGTATTCGTGGAGATGAGAAGTGATTGTGAACAGGAAGTAGAAACAGTAAATCAAGTTTCTGTTCTCCTGCAGGTCCAGCCAATGAGGAGAACTTCTTCGAGTGGGAGGCTCTCATTATGTGAGTACAGACTGTAACAGGTAATCCACGCAGCAGGAGTCCAGTCCAGGGTCAGAGTGACCAGGAGAAATCTGTTGTTTACCTGATTAAGATTCATTCACTTACTTGGTCCCAGATCAGGACCAGACCTGAATGGAAGCTCAGCTGCCTGTCTGATGGGTCCAGGACCTGGGTTCAGATCAGTTTCAAAGATGCTTAGGGGTCTGACAGGATGAACATACAGTCCAGGCCTTAATTATGTGGACAGTTACATGTTATGTTTCTCAGGCTCTGACTTCAGCAGCAGAGAGAGAAAGAGAGAGGGGATGACATGCAATAAAGGAGAGAGAGAGAGGGGATGACATGCAATAAAGGGCCACAGGTCAGATTCGAACCCATGGCCACAGCAGTTGGGACTAAGTTTTAATAGTAGGCCCTCCACCAGGTGAGCCAGCGAGGTGCCTCCAACAGGTTCAGTCTGAAATAAAATAATGGAAACAACATCAAAGTCTCAGTTTTAATCTGAGCAGGTTCGAGTCCTTTTCCACTGCACGGTACAGCTCTACTCCACCCGCCTCCTTTGGTTCTCCATCAGGCAAAAGTTGTGGATAGAACCTGGGACCTGGGTCTTTCTTTGGTCTCACCTCATCTGAGGTTCCACGGCGACCTGAGACGATAATAAAAGGTGATGTAGAGACACTGCAGACTGCTGATTGGTCAGAGAGAGTCGTAGCTGTTACATGTCTGTTAGTTCTGTAGTTTTAGTTTGACACCCTGTGAAATAGACTGAGGATCAGAACATGTTCTCTTTATGTTCTCAAACTGTTCTGGAACAGGAACCTAATGAACCACAGTCAAATCACTGTTCTACACTCAGTTGTCATGACAACAGAAAAATATGTGTGTAAAAACTGAACAGTGAGTGTGTTGATATCAAACCTGCTGCAGCAGATTGAAGTCCACACTCTCACGTTCGTCCAGGTGTCCACTTACTTTTGTCCATATGTGCAGCTGCTGTGGTGACCAGCAGGTGTCAGTGTTGACTGTGTTAACACGTCTCCAGATGTTTTTCATCTTCTTCAACACGTCCATCAGCAATAACTTATTTATTTATTTCAGTTTTCATCCTCCAGATACGAAGGTGGACGCTTCACAGTTAAAACTTTGATATTTATTATTTATTTATTTGGCCCAGACCCTCAGGGGCCCAGACCCTTAGGGGCCCAGACCCTTAGGGGCCCCGCAGGACCCGGGTGATTACTTGCAGGCTCCAGAAGAGGAAGTACTCAGATATGGAAATACAAAGTAAAAGCACTTGTACTGCAGGATGCATTAATACTGTTGTTGAAGGTGGAGCTCATTTTAATGATTTCACACACAGCTGTACATATGACGAACACCTTACTAACACACTGCATGATGGGTTCTACTTTTACTGTCATTCACCCATCTGTAGATTAGAGTCCAAAGGAGCTTCTAGTAGTTATGTAGGAGGGTCTCAGGTTCCTTTAAGGGGGTTACAGCTGTCCTGTGGAGGTTCTTGTGGGCACAGAGGTGGTTCTCGTCTCTCATGGATCATTCATGAAATAGCTCAGATGTTTCATGGGCCATTGAGGAAGTTCTACAGGACCTTTAGGGGGTTTTACATGTCAAAGACGGTTCTAGTGGTCTCTCAGGGGACTCTTTCTGTCCTTCAGGAGGTGTGTGGGTTTCTCTCCTACGTTCTAACAGTCCTTCTCATGGTTCTAACAGTTCTTAAGGAGACTCTTGATATCCTTTGTGAAATTCTAGCAGTTCTTTATATAGTTCTAACAGTCTTTGAGGAAGTTCAAGCTGTCATTTGTGAAGTTTTAAAGGTCCTTATGGAGGTTCTGGGGATCCTTTAAGGTTCTAGTGGTCACTGAGCTGGCTGTTTCGGATGTACTAGCAGTCATTAAAGAGGTTCTTTAGGTCTGCTAGGAGATTCTTCTGGTCACTAAGGAAGACCTAAACATCCTCATGGAGGTTCTCATGGACACTGGTTCAGTACCTTTTTTTATGTCATTTTAGAGGTGAATGAAGAGGTTCTAGTGGTCCTTTAGAAGCATAGAGGGTACATGTCCTACATGTTCCTCTTTATGAGGTTCTGTCAGTCCTTTTGATAGTTCTAGTAAGGAAAGGGAATTCAAGTGGTTCTCCGGTCCTTACAGATGTTCCAGGTGTCTCCTGAGCTTCAGATGGTCACTGAGGTGCCACTGGGTAGTGATCAGCTGATCCAACAGCGTGGGGAGGATCAGGTGATGTGCTTGAGCTCCAGAGAGAGGAGATGTAAAACTACACAGATGGATTAAATATATCTTCTTATAGATCAACACTTAAAACACAGAAGAAGAAGAAACATGGAGCTTTAAACTGAGTGGGTTTAAATCAATGTAAGAAGAAGTAAAGAGAGAGTCTCATCAACACACACTGACCTGAACAGTGTGAGACGTGTTGGTCCGTCACTGCAGTGATTCATTATCCTGGTTTCCATGGAAACATTAAAGCTCAGCAACTACAAGCTCAATATATGTAACAGTGAAGAGTTAAAGTGTCAGTGTGTGGGTTGGTATGTGAAAACGATCTTGTGTGTGTGTGTGTGTGTGTGTGTGTGTGTGTGTGTGTGTGTGTGTGTGTGTGTGTGTGTGTGTGTGTGTGTGAGAGAGAGAGGTGATGTCAGTGAAGGCATCATTAGGTGTAACTGAGCCTCCTGTTGTTGTTGTTGTTAGCGTGCCAGCAGCTTCAGTCTGCCCTTCAATTTAACCAGCAGCTCATTCACAGTCCGCATTCCTGCTCAGTCTGAACCCCCCCCCACACACACACACACACACACACACACACACACACACACACACACACTACATCCCGTCATTACCTGGGACCGTCCTCAGTGTCTCAGGATGTTTGTTGCTGCAGCATCAGTTGGTCTTCCTCTGGACGATGAGGTGACGTCTGAGTTCAGATTATCTTCATGGACCATGAACCAGCACACTGTGTTTTAATGGAGATCTGAAGAGGGATTCAAATACTCAGTGACGTGTTTTTCCTCGTGTGTGACTCAGGTTTAGAAACCTCAGAGTCCAGAGGACGAACCAGTTCTCAGGGACCAGCAGGACGTCACAGACTTTATCAGACAGTGACTGTGTTCAGACGTGCACAGACCCTCTGCTGATTGGTGCTGCAGATAGGTGTGTGTGTGTGTGTGTGTGTGTGTGTGTGTGTGTGTGTGTGTGTGTGTGTGTGTGTGTGTGTGTGTGTGTGTGTGTGTGTGTGTGTGTGTGTGTGTGTGTGTCTGTGTGTGTGTGTGTCTGTCTGTGTGTCTGTGTCTGTCCTTCTGTCTGTGTGTGTGTGTGTGTGTGTGTGTGTGTGTGTGTGTGTCTGTCTGTGTGTCTGTGTGTCTGTGTCTGTCCTTCTGTCTGTGTGTGTGTGTGTGTGTGTGTGTGTGTGTGTCAGTGACCAGTTCACCTGATGGAAGAGGAGGTGAAGCAGAAACAACGTGCAGATAGAGGACAGATCAGATCAGATGATCAGCTCAGAGTGAGTCCAGATAACTGATGTGTTCAGATATTCAAACACTCAGAACTCCCTCCGGTCCTGATCCTGTGTCCAGATGTTTGATACAGATCGTTTCATGTTTCCACCCTCTTGGATCAGCTGGTCACAACCCAGCCACATACAGGACTCACAAATATTTTTAAGGACTGATAGAACCTCTCCTTTGTCAAATAAAACCATCTAAAGACGTCTAGAACCACCTCAATGACCACTGGAACATCTGTAAGGACCCAAGGACCGCTTGAATTCCCTTTCCTTACTAAAACATCTTAAAAGAATATAAGAACTACTTAAAGTAAGTACTAGAACTACTTCTTTCACCACAATGACCAGTATAAGAAGCTAGAACCTCCCTAAAACTACTAAAAGGACTGACAGAACCTCATAAACTCACAAAACGTGGGAAATGTACCCATTAACCTCCTAAAGGACCAGAAGAACCTCTTCAGAACTAAAGAACCCCTTTAATGACCTCTAGGATGTCCTAAACAACCACTAGAACCAGCTCAGTTACCAGTAGAACCTTACAGGATCCCCAAAACCTCCCTCAGGTACTTTAAGGACAGCTTGAACCCCCTAAAAGACTGTAAGAACTATATGAAGGACTGATAGAACATAGGAGAGTACCCACAGACCTCCTGAGGGACATTAAGAATCCCCTGAAAGACCACTAGAACCATCTTTCCACAAGAAATTTCTAAGCTTTTTAATGAACACTAGAACGTCCTAAAGGGACAGTAGAACCCCCTCTTTGAGCACAAGAACCTCCAAACAACTGCTAAAACCTCATCAGCGAATAAGGAAACAGAAGATGTGTTAAAAGAGCCAAAAACCTCTTACAGGACCACTAGAACCTCCTAAAGGAACCCTAGAACCTCCTTTGGACTCTGTAATCTACAAATGGGTGAATGAAAGTAAAACCCATCATGCCGTGTGTTAGTAAGGTGTTCGTCATATGCACTCGTTCTCATAGGTGTTCAACCTTTTAAAGGATCTCTAGAACCTCCTCTACAGACCCTGTTCTGCGTTCTGTAAATGTTCTGTGGAGTATTTCACATTAAAAGAAGCTCTCTGTGTTTCAGGGGTCCTCAGGACACATGTTTTGAAGGTGGAGTGTTTCCCGCTGTCCTCAGTTTTCCCTCCGATTATCCCCTCAGTCCTCCGAAGATGAGGTTCACCTGCGACATGTTTCACCCGAACAGTAAGTGCGCATGCTGCTGGTACAGGCTCCGCCCCCTCACCTGCACACCTGGGCTGCAGGTTACTGATTTATGATAATCTAAGACCAACAGAAGCAGGAAGTTGTCACATTTGAGAAGCTGCAGGTGTCAAGTTTTTGGAGGTCACCCTGTCATCAGACACCGACGTTCATGTTTTCATGTGTCAGATGTCATGTGACCATGTTCACCACAGTCAGGTGACATCCACTCACAATAACGACAGAAACCTGCTGAGACACAGTGTGTGACTCCACCGGTCAGAACATGCTGTTAGCGTGTTGTTGGCCTGTCGTTAGCGCACTGTCATTAGCGCTGTGATTAGTGGACGTAGTCTGAGCTGTGATGTCACAGACAGTCTGAGCACGCTCTGTGTTGATTAGAGGGCGGGAGGCTCACTGCTGACCCGTCATCATTATCACCCCACACACACACACACACACACACACACACACACACCAGCACCAGCATGGCCCACAGCTGAACTTCCTGCTGTAACTGTATCACCTGATCCTGCAGCAGGTAAAGATAAAACACATAAAGAAGAAAACACTCTCCAGGTTGAGGTTTGATTCACTGTGAGACATGAATCTTTGTGATGTCATCACCCTGAGACACTCAGCTTCATGTTTACATCCAGTTTTACATATAAATATTTATATATTTATATTATATATATTTATTTATATATATATATATATATATAGTTTACCTGGCACCAGGTGGACCGCCATGAGACCTGGTTTGGTTCTGACTGGGACCCCGCACAACTGGCAACAGGTTGATGGTTTGATTCCCGCTCTAACAGCAGCTGTTGAAGCTGCAGCTGTCAGGGAGCGTGAAGCACCTCCATGACAGGAAGCGCTTATCACACCCTGATAACTGATCCACTGATAATCCCTGTCTCACCTGACAGGTAAACACCTCTGTACCTTTGACAGAGAACAGTCATTGACTCCAGCATCAGACACGTGAGGACCAGGTCACATGATCACATGTCCTCGCTGCAGGGGTCATGTCTCCAGAGACAGAAACTGTCAAATAAAACACCTCAACAAGTGTCTGTGTGTCACTTCAAAATAAGAGTCTTAAAATCTTTTCACAAAGTGTTTCTGCTTAAAACTGAAAACTAAACAAACTCTGACTGTACAGACCTCAGACTGACACTCATGAGTCCTCCTCCTCCTCCTCCTCCTCCTCCTCCTCCTCCTCCTCAGTCTATCCAGATGGGCGGGTGTGTATCTCCATCCTCCACGCTCCAGGTGATGACCCGATGGGATATGAGAGCAGTGCAGAGAGGTGGAGTCCAGTCCAGAGTGTGGAGAAGATCCTGCTCTCTGTGGTCAGCATGCTGGCAGGTACAACACACACCTGTTATCACATGACTCATCAAATAAATATGAATGGTCTGATGATGCTGCTAAAACTCCAGGTTAATGAAAGATGTCTCTCCCCCACCCCCCACAGAGCCTAATGACGAGAGCGGAGCAAATGTCGACGCCTCTAAAATGTGGCGTGAGGACAGAGAGCAGTTTTACAAACTCGCCCAGAAGATCGTACGCAAGTCGCTGGGCCTTTAGAGATGTCATCATCCTGAGACGATGATGTCATCACCCTGACGTTGCCCAGCACTCTGTCTGTGTTTGTCTGTTTCAGAAACAGTACTCCTTTCTTCCTCCGGTACCTTTTCACTGGGATGACAGACACAGCATCCTCCTCGTCACCATGGAAACAACACACACACACACACACACACACACACACACACAGAGTGCTGCTGATGGACAGGTCAATGAACTGATGGACGAGTGGAAGCTGATCAGACGGATGTTTGAGACGTTTCCATCAAAGTTTTAGTCAAATTACTAAAAGTCAACAGAAGAAGTCATGTGACCATACTCACGATGACATCATCACCACACCTGGACACAGCGCTCCAAGATGAAGGGTCACTCATCCTGACCATCAGTATTATCATGTTTATTTCCTGTTGATCGATTGACATTTAATACCAATAATGAAAACTGCTCATCTCCAGATCCCTGATGATGTCATCTCAATGTCACATTTAAAACAACCTGTGTTTGTCCAGACAGGTGCAACAGAACCCCTGAGCAACGTTAGCATCAATAGCATCGTTAGCTTCCTGCTAAAATCTCCTTATCAGACTCATAAACATGGACATGTCCTGCCGCTGTTGAACGAGCCACAAACAAACAAAGTCCCACTGTTGACCAACAATCAGCTGACAGAGCTGAGCTTGGATTGGACAGTTGTTCCACCACAGGGGCGTGGTTTATACTTAGAGACAGGGGAACATCAGACTGACACTGTTGTCATTTGGATACAGTATCTCAGATTTCACCACTGGACAGATGTTTTCAGATGAGCGTTCTGTTTGACCTTTGACCCCAACCAAACGGCTCCAAACAAATCACAGAGGAAACAAAGGGCGACTCCGCCTCCTTCCTCCTTTTGATTCAGATTCAACAACAAGGTCACCGTAAAGTTCCCTCTCAGATCTTATCATTAATCATCACGTCTCGTCTCTCTGAGACACCGATCACAGCCACAACAACCAAACTAATAATCCAACAATTCAACTTTTCAAAGAATCGATTCATAGTTTTGTTTTGAAAATGTCAGAAAACAATAAAAAAAACAACTTCTCAGAGCAAAATCCATTTAAAGATGTAAAACAGAAAAGATGAAGAAACTTCCTGTTGATTCATTGTTTCAGCGCCAACAGGTCGACTGGTGGACGACGCTTTCCTGTCGGTGTGATGATGAAGCTCGTCTCTCTCCCCGTCACTGTCGATACGTTTGGCTTCGATCAGCGGCGCCTCGGCTTCTCTCTGTGGGACTTAATGCACTTTATCTCTTCCCAGAGGACAATGATCTACGACTGTGGTGGAGGAGGAGCTCCGGCTGGTTTTAGTTTTGTAATTATTTTTAAGAAATGAGGCTGGATGTCCTTCGTCTTAAGGACGATGACGTTTTGTTTGAAGAGTTTCTTTTAAAGTGTTTGTTGATTTAAAATGTATTTCATTAAATAAACCAAGGGAAGAGCAACACGAGTGTAACACGTCTTTGTATTCAAACGTTTGGTCAGAGTCTGTATTTTGTTGATTTTTGAAGATGTTAAAAGACATGAATTAATATTCTTCAAGGTTCCTTCTAGACCAAACAGTCCTGCACTAGTCATGTTCAGATTATTATCTGGATCCAGAACAATAACAAACTCAACATCATAAATATTTCAGATTTTTACATCAAGATCGAAACATTATTTCCTGAGAAATTAAAAGTCAAAAAGTGTCTCACAACATTAAGTGATAGGAAATTCCCGGATCTGCCCCTTTAACCAGATTGACACCAAAATGTAATGGGTTCATCACTGGCCCCTCCCCCATCCCTCACCCAAGTTTGGTGCAAATCGGTTCAGTAGTTTTTACGTGATCCAGCTAATAAATAAACAAAACAAACCAACAGGTGAAAACAACTTCCCTGTGGAGGTAATAAACAAAAAATGTAGTTGTCAGGAGGATCATGGGTATTGTAGTATTTACATCCATCACTGAACTGAATGGGGGTGTCAACCAGCAGCTCCTCCCCCCTCACTGCCGTTCACTGTCAGGCGGAGATGAGAGGAATAACAGTGTGATGACCGCAGCAGCTTCCTGTCTGAACCTGCCTCCACATTAAGATGAAAGAGAGACCAGCATCAGTGTGTGTGCAGACAGACAGGCCATTAGTGCTGCTAACGTGGTGTGTTTACACACACACTGTTATTACTGCTCTCTGTGGTTACAACACATTAGCTGCAGCATCACAGAGGAGGGCGTGGCCTCACTGTCGTGCACAGTTTGTCAATAAAGATCCTTCAAAGATAAATGACATGGAGCAGAGAGAGGGTTTAACTGAGTTTTCAAGGAATGCTCCAGTTAAAATGATCAATAATCAAAACAAAACTTGTTTCCTGTTTACTCTTGTCGCAGTGGGTAAACAACGTTAGCAAAGTTTCCAAACCAACCAAGTTACACACACACACACACGCAGACTATTGGCAGACGCTACAATTTACAGATTTTCCCTGAATGCCTCACATGCAGGCCATTGGTAGCTACAGCACACATCTTCAGGGGCCCCACTGCATAGGGTTTATAGTTGTCATTGCAGAATGTGCCAATATGAGAACCCCCCCCCCNCCCCTAACATGACTTTGTGAAAAGGTCAATAAAAGGCGACACAAACAAAAAAACAAAACAACAAATTCATTTGAAAGTTTTCCAGTCCTGTTTGACCAGCTGGAACCAGGTCCAGTTAGCAGAACTCTTCTGAGCTTTGGGCCAGAGTCGGCACCGGTCGGGACTCTGGAGCTACAGCTGCCAGCTGTGCCAGAACAGGGCCACAGTTGGGCCGAGTGTTCACAGTCGGTGAGACACACCTGTATTTATGAGGTTTTTGTTGTGGTTTCCTCTGATAGTTTTTTTTATCGCAGATCATCACTCACACACACACACACACACACACACACACCTGCTGGCTGTGGTAGAAAACGTCTGGTTGAAACAGTGAGTGAGATGTTATCAGCTGTCACCATCACACTGCTACATTCCTCCACACACACACACACACACACGCCACACACACAGACACACACACACACAGACACACACACAGTGTTTGGCTGTTTCTTCTTATCGTTGATCCACAGGAGAAACTTCAGGGTGGAGTTTAATCTCCTCATCAGTGTCGTGTCTCAGCCTGAAGCTGAACTCAGACTGGACTCAGATCCAGGTTTACAAACCAGAGCAGGGACAGGGTCGTCAGTCTCAGCAGGTGGCCGTCTGTGGCACTGTCCACACCTCATACACCTGACAGAGAAGGAAGGTCAATAGATAGATAGATAGATAGATAGATAGATAGATAGATAGATAGATAGATAGAGAGAGAGAGAGGTGTGGTGGTGTTACAGAAAAGGTCTGTGGTCTGTGGGCTCCTTCATGTCTCTGCCTGCTGGCCTGGATCCAGGTTCAGATTTAAACCTGGATTATTGGGTTTTAACTGGTCTCTTCAGATCAGGTCTGAGCTGATCCAGCTCTTCATGTCTGAGTAAACAGCACACGTCTTCAGTCCCGTCGGCAGGTTTCAGTTCTTCTGACAACGCCTGCAAAGCTCCCAGTTCAACCAACTCTCCAACCAGACCCCCCCAGGTCCCCTGGTCCTGTCACTGTCCTTGGATCAGGTCCAGGTCTGGTCCTGCTCTGAGGCAGAACTGAGATCAGTCACTGTCTCCACTCGTCTTTCCTCAGGTGTCTTTGTTTTATCAGTTGAACACCTTGAACCACCTCTGTATACAACAGCTCTGTAAATAAAGACGTGACCCCTCAGGTTTATGTGGTGACCCTCGGGAGGGGCCCGACCCCCAGGTTGGTAATACAGCAGCTGTTTACCTGAGTGAAGCTTCTTCTGGATGAAAAGGTGAAAACAGTTTGTTGATCTGTCACACATGGACACACTCTGTGATGTCATAAACTCACCTGTGCAGCATGTGAAGTGTGTGTGGCACCATGTGAGGAGGGTGGGTCAGACAGGTGGGAGGCGGAGCTCTGCTTCAGCTGGGGAATTCCTCTGTTCTGATCATGAACACACCTGAGAGCAGAGATCAGTGACTTCTTCTTCTCTTTATCTCTCTTCTATCTCTTCACCCTTCTTCTCCTGTTTCATCTCTCAGATCAGAGTCAGGGCCTCATCAAAGCAGGAACATGCTGTTTATCAAACATCTGCGCACACGTCATATTAAATCTCAGCTGGTCCATCACCCTCATTAACATACAGACACGCCCCCAGAGTGCCAAATATGGTCAACACGCCCTCTGAAAATCCTGGATAAAATATCAGAATTGATTTGACATTTACTTCAATGATCTCAGTCTGATCTCAGTCTGATCACAGATCTCAGTCCGATCACAGTCTGATCACAGTCTGATCACAGATCTCAGTCTGATCCTAATCTGATCACAGATCACAGTCTGATCTCAGTCTGATCCTAGTCTGATCACAGATCTCATGCTGATCTCAGTCTGATCACAGTCTGATCACAGACTGATCTCAGTATGATCTCAGTCTGATCGCAGTCTAATCTGTCTGATCGCAGTCTGATCTCAGTCTGATCACAGTCTGATCACAGTCTTATCCTAGTCTGATCACAGATCTCAGTCTGATCTCAGTCTGATCCCAGTCTGATCTCAGTCTGATCTCAGTCTTATCCTAGTCTGATCACAGTCTGATCACAGTCTGATCTCAGTCTGATCACAGTCTGATCTCAGTATGATCTCAGTCTGATCACAGTCTGATCACAGTCTGATCTCAGTATGATCTCAGTCTGATCGCAGTCTAATCTGTCTGATCGCAGTCTGATCTCAGTCTGATCACAGTCTGATCACAGTCTTATCCTAGTCTGATCACAGATCTCAGTCTGATCTCAGTCTGATCCCAGTCTGATCGCAGTCTGATCTCAGTCTAATCTGTCTGATCGCAGTCTGATCTCAGTCTGATCGCAGTCTGATCCCAGTCTGATCGCAGTCTGATCACAGTCTGATCTCAGTCTGATCAAAGTCTGATCACAGTCTGATCTCAGTCTTATCCTAGTCTGATCACAGTCTGATCACAGTCTGATCGCAGTCTGATCCCAGTCTGATCTCAGTCTGATCACAGTCTGATCACAGTCTGATCTCAGTCTTATCCTAGTCTGATCTCAGTCTGATCACAGTCTGATCACAGTCTGATCGCAGTCTAATCTGTCTGATCACAGTCTGATCACAGTCTGATCACAGTCTAATCTGTCTGATCGCAGTCTGATCTCAGTCTGATCCCAGACTGATCTCAGTCTGATACCTCTACTACGTTGAATATTGTTGAAGGTACAGGAATGAGAGGACAGGTGACCGCTGTGCTTCTGATCCAGTGGACTCATTTGATTCAGTGGTTCTGGTTCTGCTGTGGAACCACGAAGAGCTTTAAGTAAAGGACTTGAACACTTCCTCCGCCACTGGTGTGGGTCAGGTGACATCATTAGAGAAAGACAGACTCATAGAGAGGAGGATGGACAGTGGACAAACATTAGACTTTAACATAAGAGACCAACAGTCACTTCCTTTTTCAAACAGTCAGTTTAACCAAAACCTTGATCTTTTCTAAACCTAACCAAGTTGTTTTTGTGCCAAAACACAGGGACTGAAATCGACCAATAAGACGTCTCTTGGCGGTCTTGATGTTATGTAGGAGAGTTAGGGGCCCGAACCTTTACCTCAGCATGTCTCATCTTGTATTCGTCAGTAGTTTACCTGTGCTGTTTCTCCTGGATCAGGTCAGACCTCAGTTTGTGATTTGAGTGTAGAAATCTTCACATTTTGTTTCTGTTTGACTGGAACAAGCTTCAGAGTTTCTGTTCTGTAAGAGGATGAAATGATTTAAAGAGGAGGCAGCCGGCAGCCCCTCTCTCTCTCTCTCTCTCTCTCTCTCTCTCTCTCTCCAGCTCCTCCCAGTCTTTTATATTTAAATGTCGGACAAGTGAGCCCGTCTCACCTGCAGGTAAACTCTCTCTCTCTCTTCACTGAGTCTCACCTGAGCCCGAGGATCACAGCAGCTCTGTCAGAGCGTCCAACCACCAGGAAGAAACCACAGCTGAAAACACAGAGGAGTAAGTGTGAGGGAGGGTGTGGAGGAGTCCAACCATTTACAGAGAGAAAAGAAAACTTCAAGGCTAAAGCAGGACAGGTGGACAACAGGTGGACGATTGCATCTTTATCCAGAATGAGAAAGAACCCTGAAGAAAGATGGACAATCAACACAAAGACTTCAACAGTCCTTCATCTTCAAGAAAATCTGGAGTAACTTTTAGAAAAAAGAAAGAAATGACAAGTAACAAAAAGAACAGGTGAACTGGTTCTTATTCTAGTCTTCAGGGTTTGAAAGGACAAAAGACATTTGGTTTGAAGTGAGGAACAGATGGAGATAACCTCTGTAAGAACTTCTTACTTCAGTTTTCAAAGTCCAGAAAAACAAATAAATGTTTGAGGGAATTAAAGAAGTTTGAAGAAAAACAAACGTCCAAGAAAGAGATGGACGACTTCTCTACAGGAAGTTTAAGACTGACTAACAAAATCCAAAATTTTTAAGAAACTGAAAAATCACGAGTAAAAATGGAGTTTGTGATCCTGCGACTTCTGGAGTATTTAGTCTGAACAAGAAGGACGACCTGAAGAAGACGTGTTTCAGGAGAAGAGGAAATAAAATGTGGTGACAAACACTGAACAACAACCAGACAACTCAAGCTGAGACTGATCCAGGACCACGACCAGATCTGGACCAACCTCTGAAGGCTGGATTGACCTCTGACCTCTGACTCAGGTTTGGTTTTACATAATTAACAAAAAACTAAATGAGTAAATCATCTTCAGATTTTTGTAACTCAGGTTTAGATGGACTCAGGTTACAGAACAAGGACTGGAGGTTCAGGGCGTCTACCATTAACCACCACACCCTCATCTCTGCCCTTGTTTCCTGTCGTCTAGAGCTGCAACAATCCTCTGATTAATTGATTAGTGGAGTGACAGAAAATTACTCTGCAGCTATTTTGATAATCAATAATCTGCTTCAGCCTCTCAGATGATTAATGAAATGAATGAGCAAATAAATCAATAATGAAAATATTGGTAAGTTGCAGCTCCACAGTCAGACAGATGAATGAATACAGTGTGATGGTCCACTGAATGTTTGCCCTGGGTTTTACCTCTCAGGCTACAAATATACACACTCACCTACTTTACTGGTGAAGACCTGCAGACACGACTCAGGGCTGAAAACGTGTTTTCACCTTCAGTCAAACAAGAATAATTTACTATTTAATCATTCTCTTGAAGAGATGAAGAACTGAAAATCCTTCAGAGATCAGACAGGAGAGAAAGAAAGTTCATGTTACTGTTTAGTCTTTTTTTTTCATCTTTTTTAAAAAATTTTGTGGCATTTTTGCCTTTATTGTGATAGTCACAGTGAGAGAGAGACAGGAAGTTCAGGTAGAGAGCGAGAGAGGGGACAACACAAAGCAAAGGGTCGGACTCGAAATCATGACCGCTGTGGTCAGGACTAAACCCATGTGGTACATGCTCTACCAGGTGAGACTCTGAGGCGCCCCCTATTGTTTAGTCTTTATACTACAGTACTGCTACATTATCAATGCAGTAATTCACAAACCTTTCAAATGTATTTATTTATTTGTGTTATATTACCATTATAACTGAAAGCAGTGAGCACTGCCTGTAGACTGCAACTGCGACTGCAGGACCAGAAACAAAGAGAACTTTTAATGTGTTTCTGTAGAAGAAAAAAGGGTCAGGTATCAGTACTGAAGCTGACACATCTTAATCACATGATCCTCCATTTGTCCAATTAGAAATGACATTAAAGATGCTGCAGAATTTAAGACTTTAAACACAAACTTCGAGAAGGTTTCATGATGAGCAGCAGCAGCTCGATCCTGATGTTATCAGTAAAATCTGGTTTTAATGTGAAAGGTTTGAAAAGAGTTTTTGCCTGTGAGTTTTTGTCAAATCCTGATCACAGCTTTGTCTTGTTGATTTTCTTTTTTCTCCACAGACATTTGAATATCGACTGAAGAGAAGAAGAAGAAAAAATCAGAGGTAGCTTATCAGATGCTGTCCTGACGCAGGTGATCTTCCTCAGACCAGCGGGAAAATGACGGTGAGCGTCGCAGGTCGAGAAGCAGACCGGTGAGGGGGAATCAAATCCACACTGTTGGCGGTACACAGGCGTGATGTTGACGTGTCGCTCCCTGCTTCTCACCTGGGTGCTGCTTGCCACCAGAGTCCGAAGCCAAAGACCCTGCACAGGTGAGAGGACAACGGTGTGAGATATTAAATGTCCCAACAAAAAAACTCCACCACTTCCGACACACTGGATCTGTTGTTAGCATCTTCTCCAGAAATGTGTTTCTGGACTTCAGTTTCATCTCTGTGAGTAATGTGTTAGCCTAGCTTAGCACAAAGACTGGAAGGAGGGGGAAACTGTTAGCCTAGCTCTGTCAAAAGAGAAATAAATCCACCTTCAGCAACTCCCAAGTCTGTTGGACTTGCAAGCTGTATTTTGTAAGCGAACAAGCTTGTCACCAATCTATCCTGTAGTCAGCTGGTTATAAGACCCCAGAAGTTAATTCTAAGCTAAATGGACCCAAGCTTAGCAAATTGGACCTAAAACCTAACATTTATATCTCTAACGACAAACTGTTAGCATCCCAAACACATTACCCCCACATGACCAAAAATTTAAAGGAACCCTGGCATTTTGAGATGTTCTCAGTCTCTAGTCCAGGACATATTTAGCTAGCTTAGCACTTTGGAAGCAAAGAGAAACTGTTACCCTAGCTCTACCAAAAGATGGAAAAAAATCCTTCCAACAGCCAAGTCTGTCTGATATAACACGCTTTATGTTAACCCTAACTGAACTTAGAAGCTAACCATAAGCTAACTCTACTGAATCCAGAGGCTAAAACTAAGCTAATTGTACCCAAGCTTAGATTACTGCACTGGTAAGCTACGCTGTCAGGTTAAGCTAATTCTAAAATATAAGGATCTAAAAGCTAACTGGATTTACACCTTAAATCAAACTTTACAAATTGTTGGTGCATGAAACACATGACCTCGAAACCTGATGTGTTTATTGAGCCGGTGGGAAACAGAAAATTAAAAAGGAGCCATTGCAGTTTTAGTAGCAGTTAGCGTTGGAGCTAATTATTGACCAACAACTGCTGGACGCAGTGACGTGAAAGCAGCAGTGAAGTCCAACAACCTTGTGACAGGTTGAATCGCTTCACTGCTTCTTCCCTTCTCTCTGAATCTTTTTGCAGATTCTCATCCACTCACTCTGCTCCTGAGATCAGGTGTTCAGATCAGTCCTCAGTCCATCTCATGGTGTGTTCAGTGTCTCAGACGTTTCTCTGCTGCTTTGTGCCTCGTTGTTTTCTGAGTCTTTGAAATGTGAGATCTGTTTCTGTGCGTGTCGTCCCCTCCCTCTATTCATCCTCCATTCATCCTCCATTGATCCCACTGCAGCAACAAAACAGACGGAGCCTCAGAGGAGCTTAAAGGGGAATTCCAGCTAAAAGCTAACGTTAACCTGCTGCTGTCAGCTGACTCTCAGTTTGCTCTCCTTCTACACTTGGTCTCAGTTTGTCTAAATACCGCATTACCTGTTCTAGATGTCGCAGCACCTGTGTCATCTTCATTCAACGCTGCAAAAACAAACAAAAAATGTTTTTTTTAAATAGCAGTCTTACAATTTTGTCATCACGAAATTCATCACAAATTCAACCAATCCCTGCATTTTATGAGATCCTAAAATGTTGTCAGATATCCTCAAGATATTTCCACAGATTCAGGGTGCTCACATGCAGGTTTAATCTGCTATTTCTCCTCATGTGTGAATGGTAGCCTGTGTTATAAAGATTTACTGTTGTTTACATCGTGTGTGTTTAAAAAGCCGAACTGTTTCCTCCTCAGACCTGCTGCCTCTTGACCTGCTGTCCAGAGCCCTGCCCCGACCAGGACAAGCCCCGCCCACGAAGGTAGGACACAGGTGTGGAAGGAGGAAGGGGCGATAGATGAAAAAAGTTGGGTGGCAGATAAACAGATGATTTGACCAAGCAGGTGCAGATGGTTCAGTCCAGAGGGTCCAGAGGTCTCCGATTGGCTGGTGCCGTGACGACAGCTCTGAGTTTCCCCGCCTCACAAATCTTCACCAACTGTGATTACTTCCCTGCTGAGTTCTCATTGGTGGCCACCATCAAGATCCCGAGACTGAGATGGAAGGTGAACCGGGAGAACCGAGTAGAACCAGGTCTGGTCCGATGTGGTCTGGTCTGTTCTAACTTGTTCTTCTCTGTTCCAGAAGAATGAGTACATCTTCTCCGTGGTGGAGGACCGGTCTGAATCGCTGTTGCTGGGGTTACGTGTCTCTGAGAACCGCCTCCACTTCTTGACCACGCCTCCTGGTGCTGGTGGGCGGAGCCGGCTGAGCTTTATGGATGTGGGACTGGACGATAACCGCTGGCACACCGTGGTGCTGGCCATCACTGGACTGTATGCCACACTGACCGTCGACTGTGGCCTTCCTCTGGAGCTGTGAGTCACCGTCGGACCAGTTCAGTCCAGTTCAGTCCTCAGTAGTTCAACCATGTTTATTTTATTTTAGCCTTATTTTATTCAGCCTTGTTCACAGTAACTCACCTGGTTCAGTCTCCTCTAGTTTGTTCTGGTCGGTAATGGCTCAGGATCAGTGCCAAAGCTAAGACTCCTGAGAGACCAGCTTCAGTGCTACATGCTCAGACTGGTGTGTGAACTGGTTTCCTGTCTCCCAGTAAACAGGTCCAGCCCTTCCCCAGCACTCTGAACACCAGAGGGGCCCGGTTCTTCATCGGCAGCAGGAGGAGGTGGAGGGGCCGTTTCTCAGTGAGTCTGTGATCCGGATCAGGACTTGAGTCAGCTGAGACCTTCAGGGTCCTGCTGTCCTCTGACTGTTTACCTCCCAGTTATCCCAGTCTGCTTCACACTGGTCTGTCTGTGTTCAGGGATTACTTCGTCAGCTGGTTCTACTTCCTGGCTCCGATGCCACGCCCAGACTGTGTCCGTCCTCTGAGCCCAGTCTGGCCGAGCTGTCTGTCCCCCAGGTCCTAAAGTCCACCCCACTCCAGCCAGACCACCACGGACCAGTTTACCCATATGGTGAGGAGAGGAGGAGCTTTCTCTAAACAAAATGCCATCAAACACCATGGCAACAGACACTAATAAACATGTCTGAACATTTCCCGCCTTTTCTTTAAAACCACTTTCCACTGAAAACCTCAGGTCTGTGGATGAGGTCAGAGGTCAGAGGTGGTCCTCCATTCAGAGTCCAAACTTAGTTAGACCTGAACACACAGACGTTTGTGTGTGTGTGTGTGTGTGTGTATGTGTGTGTGTGTGTTTGGACTGTAAACCTCAGGTTGTGATGGTTTCAGTGATTCAGTAACATGAGCCTGTAAATGACTGACAGGATGTAAGAGTTGCTTCCTGCTTCTGTGTGTGATTGACAGGCCTTTACAGATACTGGTCTAATGTGTGTGTGTGTGTGTCTGTGTGTGTAGCCGGCGGTAGGATTGACAGTCAAGGTGTATCCTGCTGTTTGATGTGTGTTGCCATGACAACAGTGTAAGGTCAAACAGGGAACATCATACAGGTCACAATATTTCACTGCATAAACTTTTCTTACAGTTTGAGCAGAGATGGGTTCAGGAAGGGTTTAAGCTAGCTTAGCATTAAGACTGAATACAAGGGGGAAATGTTAGCCGAGCTCCATCAAGCTCAAACTCTACTCGACTAAACGTCCTGGTGGAGTAAAACTTTAGATTCTTGTGAAAATATTAAATACAGTTGGTGATTTCACACAAGCTGAATTCACCAAAACAACAAACTGTTTGAATAAAAATGTGCCAACTCTTATTCAGTAACATCTGATTCAATGGATATGCTAAGAAGAAATTAAATTGCCAGATTTGACAGGGCGTTCTGGTGGATTTGAAAACAGAATGAGAAACAAGAGACTTTGTTTGTTTTGAAGAGGACGACAGAGGACAAATGAGACTTTCCATAAACGATTGAGTGTATTTTAAACATTAGCTTGTGCGCTGCCTGAGGCTTAGAGAGGTAGTTTGTCTAGATGAGCCCTTCAGCCAGTTCTGACTCTGTATGACTCACAGTTCATATAAACCTGTGTCAGGTGAACAGTCTGAGGTGTGTTTGATTTATATCCCTGCTCACAGCTGAATCCACTGCAGAAACAATGAAGCTGACTTCAGACTTTTCATTTCTTCATCTGAAGACTCTGAATGTTTCTACTTCCAGGGAAATTGTATTTCGATGATGAGATGTAAGAAACTTTGAGACCAATCTCGCCCAACCTTTCTGCCATGACTCATAAATGAAGTCTGAAGGAAAGAGAAAACATTTAATGAGCTGTCAGATTTTAAAGCTGAATAATTATCTGAAATATCTGAATATCTTTCAACACCCAAAGAGACAAAACCATTCCTGCAATTCACAAGAAAAAACACTCCTACCTACCACTGTAAGCAGGAAACTAGCAGCTTCCATTTTAGCATTTTGGCATTCTTTTGGTTTGTCGTTGTAAAAACAGCAGGTAGTTAGTTGTTGCTGTTTGACCGCTCACCTGTGTCACACAGCTCTCTCTCTCTGAGGAGATTAAAGAGCAATTTAACAACCCTTTTAACTTGGACACATCCCCTTCACAAATTCAGAAAAAGCCCTCTGAACCTGACGCACAACACCGCACCGACAATCCACAGCAACCATAAACAAGCTTTGGTCATGGCACTGACTTTCATGCATCACAAAGTTTGGGAAATGTCATGTCCCAAGTAGCAAAATAAATCCGGCCCATACTTGGACCCCATGCTTGTTTTCTTCTGGTTCAGTAAACACCCGGTTCCATGGCCCGAATCTGGTCCAGATACAGCATGACTGTCAGATGCTTCTTTCACATCTGGACCAATTCTGGCACTCACAAAGAAAATCAGTCGGACTTTGCCCAGATGTAGAAGTATAGGGGCCAGACTCGGGCCAACGACCAAGGCTATCTGAGGTTGGTTGGTTTGACGACATGTCTCAGTCACAATGTGAAAATTTGAATTTTGCCATATGTTGTTTTTGGTGCGTAAAGCTCCAGATAAGCTGCCGGTGGACGAATCTCAGTGAGATCTGGGACCAGTGTTTTGGATGGATGACCACAGATTTACAGATTTTTAACTTACATCTCCATCTGACACTGACGGACAGATGGAGGTTCAGAGCCGTTTCTTGCCAGTTGTTGGAACATAACATTAACTATGTTGTCATACTTGCTCAGTTCAGTTCAGGTGAGAGGTTTTGATTGTCCTGATGTTGAAGTACAGTTGTGTATCTTCGGGGTGAATCAGAAGTTAAATCTCATTAGCAGCCGCTCTGTCTCTGCCCTCTCCCTCAGGTGATGCTGACTGATGTGTAATGATAGACTCATCTCCTTCTGTCTGCTCGTAGTGACGTGTGGTTGAAGGAGCGACCTTCATTACTCTTGCCTCATTAACTCAGAGCTGTCAGTTCACCTCTCTCTGTCATCCACACTCTCAGATACAGTTACTGTGTCAATCCAGCTGCTGAAATGACGAGTAATAAAAGGTCTGTCACTGTGGGAGTATTGTTCCTACAGGAGAGGGACTTTCCGTCAGAGTTAATGATGCATCACTGTCACTGCACACAGTGTCTGCAGTGGTGGAGGAAACTTCTACTTCACCACAGCTCAGAGTGAAATATTGTAGTTACACTGACTCATCTAACAGCTCACAGCTGTTCAGATTCAACCCTCCACAGAGCTCATGAAGACTGGTTGTTGGTTTTTGTGATTGTCTTTTAGAGGCAGAAGCCAGAGTGACTCTGGGAAATGCTCCTCCATGTTCGAGAGCAGAACAGGGCCAGCTGTGGTTCAACGCTCAGAGGAAAGGCCTGTTCATCTGTGACACACTCACGTGGAGGACGCTGCTGCAGAGTGAGTCTGAGAGTCCATCAAACAAATTCCACATACTCAATATTTACGTTGTAATATTTAGACATTGTTGTGTTGTGAATTTTCTATGACAACAATAAGAAAGTTGTGATTTTACAGGAAAATGTAAAAAAAAAACATTACATTACATTACAACAATGAAGTACTGTTTTTCTGAGAAAAGTCATATTGTGAGATAGTTATTATGAGAAAATCTAAGAAAATATAATATAAAAACATAATTTTTTTGAGAAAATCTATCATGAGATAGAGGTGTCATTTAGAGTTAATTATAAGTCACAATTCATGATGAAGTTATATGAGGGGTGATGATGAAATTTTATGAGAAAAAGTCGTTTCATGAGTTCAAGTCATAATTATATAAGAAAACCTGCTATTTAAAAAAAAGTTATCATGAGATAAAGTTGTAGTTTTATTATAAGACACTAGCACTAATATCCAGATACTTAATTTTGTTCAAAACACATAAGAGATATTGGTAATAATATAACATACTATTACCAGTAATATGCCAGCTGTGGGCTGAGTGGGGTTCAGAGATTTCTGATGTAAAAACCAGATGTTTATCTGTCCCCTATGATTAAATACTGGACCGCACCTCTGTCACTTGTTTGTGTCTCATGTGACTGAAGACAAGGAGCGTCTGGATTACATAGAGAACTACCAGGACCTGTACACCAGCTCAGAAACCTTTGACGTCGAGGTCTTCTCCATTCCTTGTGAAGGCTTGTTCTTGGCTGCAGCCAACAGGTACTGAAACACCTCTGGGAAATATATCTCATGTCAGGCAAGTGTCCTCTGTGTCTCCATGGTAACCTTCACGTCTCCTCCGGCAGGGACTCTGTGTCCGGTTCAGGTATCTACAAATGGAGAAACGAGACGTTCCAGCTGTACCAGAACATCAGCACTCAGGAGGCTCGAGCCTGGAAACACTTCACCATTGATGACAAGGTGAGAGCTGCATCACGAGGTGAGAGCTGCTCCACAAGGTGAGAGCTGCATCACAAGGTGAGAGCTGCTCCACGAGGTGAGAGCTGCTCCACAAGGTGAGAGCTGCATCACAAGGTGAGAGCTGCTCCACAAGGTGAGAGCTGCATCACAAGGTGAGAGCTGCTCCACAAGGTGAGAGCTGCATCACAAGGTGAGAGCTGCATCACGAGGTGAGAGCTGCATCACGAGGTGAGAGCTGCATCACGAGGTGAGAGCTGCATCATGTGGTTAGAGAAAAAAAATGTGTCTACATGTGTTATAGTTTTATGAACTGATTACTTTTAGTCTAATTCAATGATCTGTCGAATCACAAACATCTCTCCGATAGTCCCCAGCACCATTTCAAAATGAAGATTTACTTAAAGTGAATAGCTGCAATAAAAATGTAGAGTGGAAACATATAGAACTCACTCACCTCTGTGACTTCAGAGACATCAGAGCTCAACACCTTGAATTTGAAGAGTTCCCTCAGGCATCTTTACCAATAAATAACAGATATTTATTTAGTAAACTTTGTACAGCCTCATTCCCTATGATCCTCAAGTAGTGCTTGGATCACATAACAACATGCAAAGAGCTTAGCTTAGTTACAAGAGCTCATTTTATTTGTAAGAACCAGGGCTACTGATGTGTTGATTGACAGCAGGATAGACCTAGATCTTTTTGTGTTGAAGCCAACTTGACTCTTCATCAACCATTTTATTTAAAAAAGGATTGGAACCCCGTCTCAGTTGTCTGGAGGTGGGGGGGTTGATTTTTAACACCAGCCTTGCTTCCACTGTTACAGCTGTTTCTGACCTCCAGTTGACCTCTGATCATGTGACCTCTGGCCTGTGGTTGACTCAGGATGAACAGTAGATACAGTGTGTTCACTCAGAGAGAGGAGTGGCAGCGAAAAGAAAGAGAGAACAAACAAAGCAGCAGCTGTTTGAACTCACCTGTTGACCTTGTATTGGTCTTGTTTGTAGAGTATGGGAAGTTCACACACGAACAGGTGTTAAAATAAAGCTCTGCAGGTATTCAGTGTTATACAGAAGAGAGGCTGTCAAAGGTAAACCCTGTTAGAAAGACCACTAAAAACAGAGAAGCATCCTGACTTCCAAAAGAGTTGAATTCAAAGTTGGAATAATGTTCCAGTTGATCTCAAAGCTGTTGGATTGTTTCCCCACACTAAACTGGAAAACCACTTCTTTATGAACCTTTGAGCATGAAGACAAAGTCCTGTTGAAACAGGAGAGAGAAAAACACAAACAGAAACAGGTATCCACATATACAGTTAGTGTCCAAAGGTATATGGATAAAACATGAACTAGTTGTGTTGAGTGCTATGTCATGTTTTTCCTGCCTCAGATTTTCCTGGTGGTGGCGAACTCCAGGGAGGCGGAGCCTGAGCTGTCTGTCATCTATAGCTGGAATCCGCAGTGGCGGCGTTTCCTTCGTTATCAGACTCTGGAGACTCATGGCGCTCTGGACTGGGAGGCCTTCCAAATCCACAACCACAGCTTTCTGGTTGTAGCAAATCACAGACGAGGTACAGGACATAATTTAAATAGGAATGAATGACACAATTCTTTGGGTGGGTCAACATGTCTGAGGGTCAGGACAGAGCGTCGATGGGGGACGGCCGACTCAGGGCCTGATGAAGGCAACAGCAGGAACAGCTGATAGAACCAGACAAACAGTTACAAGGTTAAATGAGGGCTCTTCCTGAACTGTGGAGATTTCTGGAGATACGTGGTTTCCTCCTGAAGATATGAGCTTTCTGAACAGTGGAGAGAGCTCGTATCTCCTCATCAGCTGTGTGAAAACTTGTATGTTCGTCTGTCTGTGAAATCAGAGTTCATGGAACCATTAACATCAAACACACCTACACCTGCTCTGAAGTGTGTGTGTGTGTGTGTGTGTGTGTGTGTGTGTGTGTGTGTGTGTTTCCTGTGAAGATAAAACACACTCATTGATCTGAGCTGAAAAGAAGGAAAGATTGTTTATGATCTGACCATTAAGAGAGAGAGAGAAAGAAAGAGAGAGACACAGCTGATGCAGGTGTACTGTGTGTACACGCACACACACACACACACACACACACACACACACACACACACACACACACACAGTCTCTTTGTACTCTCATGTGTAGATACACATGAACACAGAATACAGAACATAGAACATAGAACACAGAACACAGAACATAGAACATAGAACACAGGTCTCATTGATTTTAGACATTTTATTGTGGGAAAGTTACAGATTGTAACTTGACGAAGAAGAACCCGTTTGTTCCTGCCGCTGTAACAAACAAAGGTTCTCGTTATAACAGAGGTGATGGACGGGGGCTTGGGGGGGTTACTGTTGTCTTCTTCTTCAGCTGTTTTAGATTGTGACAGTGTCCCTGTGTGTCCTCAGCCAAAGACTCCAACCACAACATCCACAGTGTGATCTACAGGTGGAACCAGGACACTAAGGTAAGGACATATCCCGTTCTGTCCTCTCTTGTTGTGTCCTCCTGTCCTCTCTCCTGTCCTCTCTCATGCTGTCCCTGTCTCTTTGTTTCCTGTCCTGGTCTGTCCTCTTTGTTCTGACCTCTCCTGTCCCTCCTCTCGTCCCTTCAGATGTTCGAGGTGAACCAGACTCTGTCCACGTCTGGCGCATATGACTGGGAGTTCTTCACCGTCGGACCGTACCACTTCCTGGTGGTTGCCAACACCTTCGACGGTCAGACCACCAGCATCAGCTCCGCCGTCTACATTTGGTTGGACGGACGTTTCCAGACCTTCCAGAACATCCCGGTCAGTGTCTGTCATCTTCATGTGGTAGATCAGGTCAGGGTTGGTCAACATCTGGTTCCAGGACTTTGTATGTGACGTTCAGATCATGTGACTTGTTGTTACGTCTATTTAGGATTTGAAAATGTCCGACTCTGACGCCCTCTAGTGCTGAGTTCCTGTGGGACATGAAAACCACATCGACTGAACCACAAACAGAAACGAGACGTTAAAATAAAACATTTATCAAAGAAAAATAAATACAGTTGTTTTTAAGACGTTAAATCTCTAAGAGCTTTTGTTGCTATCAATAAAAGATCTTTTATGTAATTATGAGTGTTTGTTATAAAATATAAATCTTATAATTGTGATTTTTTTGTACTTTTGAGATCATTTTTATCCAAATTATGACACAAGACTCATAATTAAGAGATATTGTTTTTTTTAATCAGAATTATGTTTTAAGTAGTTTTTAAAAGTTGCTTTTAAAAATGCAATTTTTTTTCATAATTACTGTTTGTTGTAATTATAATAACCTTGATATCTTCTTTATTGTAGTTATGATATCTTTTTAATGTTATGATGAAATATGGTCTTATTTTAATAATTAGATCTTTTTATTTTAATTATGAGCTTTTTATCATAATTTCAGATCTGCTTATGTAAAACTATATAAATATATAAACTATAACTACATTTTCTCCTAATTGTGAGATTATCTTTGTTATTCTAGTTATTGTAATTATGAAATATGAATCTTCAGATCACAGCAGATTTTTTATTCTAATAATTAATAATAATTCTAGTTTATTCTAATATTAAACTCCTGATTAGAGAAAAACTGTTTGAACTGAACAACTACAAACTCTTTGTTTTGTTGTTCTTCACAGAAACACATGAAAAACAAAAAAACGTGGCACTAATTTTAAAACCTTCTGTCTTGATGGGACGTTTTATAGATTAAATTTCTGTAGTGCCCCCCTCAGGACAAACGTAGCATCTCCACTCTGACAGCAGACAGATCAGCTGTTGTTTGTTCTTCTTCTCCTGTTTGATCCAGTGTACCTGTACAGGTGAGTTCAGGGCAGACAGGCATGATGACAGTAATCACAGTGAATCAGACGCTAACAACAGAACGCCATGACGACATCAACCACTAATCACACACAGGTAAAAATAACCTGCTGACTCACAGCAGCAGGAAACTGAGTTCATCTGAAGGAGTCAGTAAGAATCTCCTGATACTCAGATTTAATGTATGAACAAATATTGACTTTCCATAAATGAAATATACAGCAATCAGCCATAATATTGATCACTGACAGGTGGAGTCAATAACATTGATAATTGAGCATCTCCAAACCTGCAGGTCCTGAACAATGTCTTTATTGGATTTTCATATTATTTTACAGCCATTAGCAGAATTATGCAACATATGACACAATATACAGCCCCACTACTACTGACACACATGTCCTTGAACACAACACACCTAAACTTAAAAACTCAACCCACATGCGACACCTTGACCTTTAGACGAGCTCTTTGCCCATTAACAGGATGAGGGGAACAGTGGCCTTGTCTATATATTTACTCCTGGTGATGCACTAAATGTCCCAGGAGAAACTCAAGACTGAATGAAGGGCCAACTAATACCTTCAACTCCACTTTTTAGTATTCAAAACGATAAACCATTTAATCCTCTGTTGCTTTCACAACAGACCTAAGGTTCAGTCTCTCCAGGGTTTTACAAGATGAAAGCAGATCCGTTTTTCCAGAGTTGGAAAAAAGTTTTGCTTTTGTGAAAAAATGACCATCAGCTTTGATGTCCTGTCTCTTTTTCTCTAGTTCTGTCCATCATGTCTTGTCTCAGCATCCCGGCTGTTTGGACTTAGACTTAGTTAATGTCTTGACTCTGACTTGTCTCGACTGAAGATCTGGACTTGGACTAATCTGGGACTCAGCTGTTGGTCTTGACTCCAGACCTGATCATTTTAACAAAACAAACCATGAAACACAAAGAAAGAGAAACTTGACTTTCTGAACCTCATGATTTTCCTCAGTGGACCAAACCGGACCCGTCAGACCTGCAGCAGGTCTCAGGTGTTTACTGCTGCTTCACTGACTCCTGTAATAAGTGTGAAGCAGGACGTCCTGCAGTAAAAAGGTCAAAGAGCCATAAAACATTAATATGATGACAGACGTTCGCATGAAAGCAGATTCATGAAAATGTGTTTTTTCATTTCATCTCTTCAGTTCATTCATGAAGGAAACGAAAGCCTCCAATTAGAACGCAGGAAACCAGAGGAGTGTAATTAATGTGTGTGTGTGTGTGAGTGTGTGTGTGTGTGTGTGTGAGGGGGTTTCCAGCTGCAGACAGCTGTTTGGACTCGTCTGTCAGGGCGGATCATCTGACTGAAGAAAGACTTTTATTGGATTTTAAAACCACAGAAAACGTTAAAGCTTCATGAACCTTTAATTTGACGAAGTCTCAGATCAGCAGCAGACTGTTGACACCACGTGGGCCAGGTCTACAGACACACCTTACACTGGTTCACAGGTTCGGACCAGAGGCTGGTGCCCTCTAGAGGCAGCACAAGTCATTACATCTGGAACAAACACACCGATGTCTGAGTGAATTTAGAGACTGTAGATTTTTAAAGAGTAATAATCCTGTGTGAAATGTTAAAACTAATGATCAAATGTTGTATTTTAGAGGAAGAGTCCGTCAGTGAACCGTCTCCTCTGAGACATTTTTGTGATGTTTAGTGAATATTTTATTTTTTCATGTTTAATGTAAATTTACAAATTAAATTGTCTTTTCTGTAAATTCTACAAGTCTAAGTATTTTCCATGTAACATAAAGCACAGCTGAGAGCTGACATGTGATGATGATATTCAACCAGTCTTTAGTCGATCTTGATGCAGCACACCTGCCCAAAGTGACAAAAGGTGTTGGACTCAAACCTCATTTATCACCATCAGAAAAGAGATCTCAGACCCTAATGATCCCAGACGACTTCTCTTGGTTCATGACATTTGTATAATGAGCATGAAGACGTCGAGTCTGTGATTAAAGCTCATTTTTATCATGGAAGAGAAACAGTGACGAGCTGCAGCTTCAGTGTCGAATCTTGATACTATGATCAAGTGTCTTTCATTATTTATCAAATTTAAGGACCAAAATAAACTGTGTTTTTACTGCAAAAAACATGTGGCTCACCTGGTTACTGGTCTGACCAGTAGCTGCTGATTTCACTGTGGGCCAAGAGGCTTTACTTTAACTGTTTTCATCATTGATCAATCTGATGATCATTTTGTTGATTAGTCGATTAATTATTTGGTTTTGAAAGTAAAAAAAAATCCCGTCATCATCTTTATCTTCATCTTTAAAATGTAATGAGTAATATTTAGTTTCATATACAACAAAGAGAAACTTCTTTCTGGAACCTGATCGGTTTTTGCTTAAAAACCTTATTGAAACGATTAATCGATTATCAAAGTAGCTGCTGCTTCATTTTGTTTTAATGAATGAACTGATTTCTATATTTTTAAAAGGTTATGTTACCTTGGTAACAGTCCTGTCCTCTTTCCTCAGACGGTGGGAGCGACTGATTGGGAGGCATTTCAGATTGGCGACAGGTTTTTCCTCGCTGTTGCCAACAGTCAGAGGGTCTCAGACCACGGCCCAAGTCCCTACAGCATCAACTCCACCGTGTATGAGCTGAGTACGCTCACACAAACCTTCATCCGCTTCCAGGACATCCTCACACACAGGTGACCCACCCACCCACCACACCGGGGGGGTTAGGTAGACGGGTTTCACTGTGAATGTCCAGATCTGAACTGTTGTGGTTGTGGTTGTTGTGGTGTTCAGTGCGGTGGACTGGGAGTTCTTCACCATTGGAGACGAGAAGTTCTTGGTGGTGGCCAACTCTTACGACGGCACCTCGTACTCTCTGAACAGCATGGTCTACAGGTCGGTACTTCCTGTCCAGGGTCGCAGGTTTGACTCTGTATCTCCAGGTTTTCATCTCTTTATGTTTTCATATTTTCAGGTGGCAGGGCTACGAGGGTTTTGTCCCGGTCCACAGTCTGCCAACGTTCGGCTGCAGAGACTGGGAACACTTCAGCACTGATGAAGGCTCCTTCCTCATCTACTCCAGCGCCACCTCCAGGCTCAGCAAGGTCTTTAAACTCAAGACCTACTGAGCTAAATCCACCTCAGACTCTCTGACTGAAAAACCTGCGAAAACACTCAGCGGAGAGTTTGACTTTAAAGCCTTAAAACTGTTGACGTCCATGTTTCTCCAGAATTGAGTCTTCAGAGTTAAATCCTGAGATTCTGTTTCTAGCTCCAACCTCTTTAGCTCTCTACAACCTGGAAATGAATTATTATCAACTTGATTTATTTATGAAGCACTTTTCTTTAACTGAGTTTATAAAAAGGTCAAGTCATGTGAAGCTCTGCTGATAAGGACAGCACCCTCCAGTGGACAAAGACAAACATGTTAATGAGAGACAACCAGAGGAGGATCGTTGTCTTGGTGGGACTGGACTTCAGCACAAAGTCCAATGTGGTGCTACTCTCTCATTCAGGTTCACAGCAAAACCTGCTGAAGGTTGGGTTTGTAATAAAGTGTCAAGTGAAGCTGTGTGTCCTCAAGGTCTTCAGTGTCTTCAAGGTCTTCAGTGTCTTCAAGGTCTTCAATGACTTCAAGGTCTTCAAGGTCTTCAGTGTCTTCAAGGTCTTCAAGTTCTTCAAGGTCTTCAATGTCTTCAATGACTTCAAGGTCTTCAATGTCTTCAATGTCTTCACGGTCTTCAGTGTCTTCAATGTCTTCAAGGTCTTCAATGTCTTCAAGGTCTTCAAGTTCTTCAAGGTATTCAATGTCTTCAATGACTTCAAGGTCTTCAATGTCTTCAGGGTCTTCAGTGTCTTCAAGGTCTTCAGTGTCTTCAAGGTCTTCAATATCTTCAATGTCTTCAAGTTCTTCAAGGTCTTTAATGACTTCAAGGTCTTCAATGTCTTCAAGGTCTTCAGTGTCTTCAAGGTCTTCAGTGTCTTCAATGACTTCCAGGTCTTCAATGTCTTCAAGGTCTTCAATGTCTTCAATGTCATCAAGGTCTTCAATGTCTTCAGTGTCCTCAAGGTCTTCAATGTCTTCACGGTCTTCAGTCTCTTCAAGGTCTTCAATGTCCCGATAGGTTTATAGATAACCAGACAGCTTCTCCAGGAGGTCTTCCTGCACTCAACTCCTGATGAGCAGTTTACTCTCTGACTGAGGACCTGGAGGACCTGGAGGACCTGGAGGACCTGGTGGACCTGGAGGACCTGGAGGACCTGGAGGACCCGGAGGACCTGGAGGACCTGGTGGATGTTGACTCTCGGATCATAAGCTATGTCAGCTTCCTGTGTTTTGGACCCTCTTACTCTCTGTCCTGATGGTTGCTTGATGAATCAGTCAGACACTTTTAAGTTACTTCACTCAGCGGCTTCTTTGAAATTAATTGATTTAATTCCGAGATTCTGTGACCACGTCCTCAGAGCGGGATATTTTCAAAGTAAGAGTAGACTTTACTTTGAAGGCCACAGTTTCCCTCTAAAGATTTATTTAAAGTTTGAAAGCTGAAGAAATGTTTACAGATGTGAGTAAGCTCTGATGAGAAACAGACCAGCTGATGAAAATGATTCAAACTGTTCAGATGAATTAAAGCAGAAAAACATTTATATTTAATTCAACATTTATCAGTAAAATGAAAGAAAAGCTTTTTTAATTTCTGTGGCAGCAACGGGTCGACTGCTTCTGTTAAAGCTGTACAAGAAGCTGACTCAGTGTGTGTGTGTGTGTGTGTGTGTGTGTGATGTGTGTTAAACTGCAGCTACAGTCAGACTGAACACAAACACACTTTAAAACCAGGTGATGATTTGATCTCAGAGATGTCTTTATTTCACAGACACACTGGATGTTTGTATTACATGATGTCTGTGTTAAAACACAGCGAATAAAACACACATCTACAGATGTAAGTATTTCTGTTGAATCTTTATTGAAGGTGCAGTGACGTCAGGAATAAAAACGTTGGATCATGTTTGAATATTTATTCATTTCCTGTTGGTTTTATTTTGTTATAGTCGTTATTGTTGATCCTTTCTATATAAATGTTGATGATAAATGTAAATCTAGCTGCATGTAAAACAGAGAAAAGTAGGAGGAGGGGTTTTGTTTTGGGGGTTTAATTTTGTTTGTTTTATTATTTGCCACATCCTGGTTTGTCTGTGCTCCTCCAGTTAACTGTATATGATGGAAAAAGACATAAAATAAATATCAACAGACTCTGGTTTCTTATGTCACCCACATCAGTTTACAACAAAGTGAATAAACTTCTGTACAACATCACTAAAGTGTTAAATCCTTAAATTCAAATGATCTCAGAATAATATTACATATCAATAATATATATTATATTTAAATTGGACTGTTTAACTGAAAACAAACTTGATCTATAGATTTAAAATAACAGACTCCACAGTTCAACCTCAGCAACAACACTGATCACATATGATTTCCAGTGCAGGCTAATTACATAAACAAAGTTATAAAGAACGTGTGAGCTCAGATTCTTCAGTCCTGCTCTGGATCATGACTCCACATGAAGAACTGACCTGAACCAGGAAGAAACCAGACTGAGAGACTTCATGAGGATGGAGAGGAACCAGGAGAATCAGCAGACACATGAGCTGAAACACAGTTAAATACAAACTTTTCATTATAGTTTATTTACTTTATTTGTTTTTAATAAGCTTCATTCTTTTTTTTTCGTTTTAATTACTTAACAATTTTGTGATACTGAGTGGGTTGTGGACTCAGGTCTGTTGTGTACTGTAGTTTATCATTGTTCATGTGTGTTGTGACCTTATATAAATAAAAACTTATAAAGACAAACAAACTAAATGAAGTGTATTTGTGATGGTGAAATTACAGTTTTTAGCTTTTTATTCTCTATCCTTTGTTAAAGCAAAACACAGTTTTTTCCAGTTAATATAAATATTTTTTTATTTTATTTATTTTTTATTCTATTCATTTATTTTTTAAATTATGTTTAATATTATTAATTACAGTTATTATATTTGGTTATGTTTTCTTTGTTTATTTTATATTTTATTTATTTTTATTTATTTTTATCTTATCAGTTCAGTTTTATTCATTGATTAATTAAGGTTAATTTTTTATTGTATTAATTTAGTATTTTCTTCATGTTTAATGTTGATTAATTAAAGTTCATGTGAACACCTCCTACCGCCAGGTGTCGCTCTGTGGATTTAACGCCGGTAGTTTCCGGCGGTGTTTTTTGGGATCATTTCCGGGTTGAAAGGTCCCGGGACCCGGTTTGAATCTTCGGAGGTCTCCGGTGGTGTTTTTCGGTGTGAACGGAGCGGCCGGCGGATCGTCGGCTCTGAACGTGTTCGGACGTGTTTACCTGTGGCGGTGAGATCAAAGCTCGTGCTGCGGCTTCAGGTAAAAACTTTATTCGTGTCGGTTTCCTGTGTTAGCATGCTAACAGGCTAGCCGGTGTTTACAGTTAAACCGGCCGATACCGTTAATTAACGCCGCTACCGTTAATTAAAACCGGTTCATAACGTCTGACTGGATCAATCAGAAGCCGGTTAGAACCGGTTCAGACCGTGTTCAGACCCGTGTGTTCAGGATTAATGATCACACTCCAACAGGTTGTTCACCTGTACGCTACACCTGGTCACAGACACTTTACATGTGTCAGCGTCCTCAGGTTAAATAAAAATCAAATATAATATAAAAAGTGAAAGTTAAGAAGACTGAAATCACATTCAGATAAAAGCAGAAACAATAGAAACAACTGAGCGAGCAGTAATAACAACATTACAGGTCACAGGAAAGAAAATGAATCAATAAAAAATAAAAAAAACGAAGGAAAAAAATAAAATTAATAAACGACAAATATGATAAAATAAGCATAAAGGGACAAAACAAGTGGTCAGTCATGTATTAAAGTGCATATTCATATAAATGTTGGACTTTTTCAATATATCTGTATTTGACATAGTTTATATAATATTTCATTTAAATAGTCGTCAAATAAAAGTGAAACACATAAAGTATTTTGCTAAAAGTATTAAATTATTATTGGTCCAGATGAAAAGTAAATAAAAAGTGACAGAAAATAAAAGTCATGAGAGAAAAAGACGTTTTGAACCAAACATTTCTAAAATTAAATTTGGAATTTTAATTGCTTATTCTAATTATTTGATTGTGCTGTGATCAGTCCTCCTGTCCATTCTGTACAGGTGTCCACCTGTTGCCATGGAGCCGGAGCTGCTGATTGGCTGGCAGCAGGAGAAGGCGGAGCTTAAACAGGAGGTGGGTCGTCTGCAGGACGAGCTGGCAGAGAGTCGAGCAGAAAGAGAGGAGCTGGAGTCCAGGAGCAGAGCTCTGAATGACAGGGTGAGGAGGGGAAGGAGGAGGTCATGTGATCATCAGGGTGAATCAAAGCTTTAATCCTCCCTCTCTCTCCAGCTGTGCCAGTCAGTGTGTCCCTCGCTCGCCCTCTCTCTGCATGCAGAGGGTGAGCAGAGAGAGTGGAGGAGGAAGGTGAGGGAGGGGAGAGAGAGGGAGGCCAGACAGGCCCTGCTCATCCACCGGCTACAGAACAAGGTGAGAGTCCAGGACCGAGGGTCCCAGTGTAGTGCTGATGAAGTAATGTGCAGGTACTGCAGTAACTAGTGTTGTTTTTGACGGCCTGTTTTAATTTTAGTTTTAGTCTAGTCTTTGTGTCAAGCTGTCGTTTTAGTTTTTATTAGTTTTAGTCATGTTCATACTCTTTTTAGTCTAGTCAAGTTTTAGTCGACTAAAAGTCTGAGCATTTTAGTCAGAATCATCCATGACTATTTTAGTCTAGTTTTAGTCAATGAAAATTTTATTTTAGTCTCTTTCTAGTAATGCAATTCTGTTTAACCCACTATAGTATAAGTACCTAGTAGTCTGGACAAAACCAAAATTTTCTTTTAGCCAAACCCATTTCACAGTTCAAACAAGGTTATCTTATTATTATATTATTGTTACCTTATAGACTCAAGAATACATCCATTCCAGACACACAAGACGCTCTGATTTGATTTACAACATATTTATTTTACCAACCAAACATGTTTTTCTGTGATTTTGTGGCCGCATTTCTCCCCATCTTTTTCCACAACACATTCTGGGTTTTTTTCCACCTCTATGTAATGAAAGTGTGTCCAAATGTCATTTCGTCTTTTTCTTCCTAAGAAGAACCCCGACTGGCTGCCGGCCATCGGTCCTTTTCTCTGTCTTGTTATGTTTCTGAAATTGTCGTTCAACCGCAGCTGCAACTTCTAAATGCCGCCCGCGGTGGGGATTGAGGAAGTGACGTCACATGCGTCGGCGCAGTGCGACCTGATGAAGTGAGACACAGGAAACAGAAATACTGCAAAATAATAATAACTCGACTAAACGAGTCGAAATGACGTTATAAATATTTCGTTGTCTCGTTTTAGATACGAAAATGAAGAGACATTTTAGCAGAGTTTTTATTTTGTAAACCACATTTAGTCTCGTTTTTTATTCGTGAACAATATTGCATTATATATTTAACTAGAAAATTCCGGGAAATTTTGAGTGCCACGGGGGCTACTGTCGGGATGAGCACTATGATTTATTTCCAGTGTTTCAAAGTCACCCTGATCATATTCTGGTTTTGAGAAAATGTCTTGATATAAAAACTCTGATATAAAAACAATGTCTCATCCCTTCCATCATGTATTTGTGGGAAATATCTCATATTCTGTGTTTGTTTTTTTTTAATAAAACAAGAGGCAACATGTCTTCAAACTGGCATTTAAGGTTAAATCCTGAAAAACTAATTAAAACATTTGGTAGGTTAGAGGCAGAACTGAAGTGGTTTAAGAAGATGTAGCAAAAAGAGCAGAAAAAATATTGATATATGATTTTATAAGCATTTTCTTTGTGTGTCCTTTTTTTGACGCGAGGAACCCCAGAGGGTACAAAATGTGTTACCAAGTTGTATAATAGACCTGTAAGCAGTAACTGACATTTAGATTTTTAAAATATGTCAAAAAAGACACTTTCTTGAGGAAATCCATACCTTCAGCTGTAACACAGCCAAAATGATCAGCAAATCAAAAAGAGAAAAGTGAAGAAAATGTCCAAAATAAATGAGAGGGACCCTGAGGTTAATTAATCCATGAACGCTATTTAAATTACCACTATTATGTTTTTTTCTGTGCTAAATTTAACATACTGGGGAGAGAGCACGCGACTAGAAGTGACACGGGAGAGAGGGCTAGTAGCTTCTCCTCTCCTCTGTCTCACGCGGAGACCGTCCACAACTTCTTCGCACTTCTCATTTAACAAAACAAAAAAGAAAAGCAACAAAGGAAGCAGTAAAGTGGACTTACATATTTAAGACCTAACTAAATGTAATTTAGACCTAACATGCGGCTAATGTAAAGCTAGCGGAGCTTGGAGAGTTGGTTATCTGGTTGCTAGGCACGCACACACGCACACAGGTCAGGAGCTGCTGTTGCCTATGGCAATGTGAAAAATCTGCCCAGAATTTGGCTTCTACATGGCTTCAAAAATGCAATTATGCAGAAAACCGTTTGTTATGCTCTTCAAAACGTCTTTCAGAAAAGGAACGCGAAAACACCTGTGACAGACATTGAAGCCAGAAAAGTTTACTTACAGTCTCTATTATTCAGATAATCCCTTTAAAATGAGTGAGTAAGCTCAGTGGCGAAGACAGAGGAGTTCTTTGAAAGAAAAAAGCACGAATTACATTAGGTGGTCAATGAGAGTGAGACAGTATTGCTGCCCGACTGGCACCCGTTTAAAATTTTGTGCAGAACTTGACCTGTCAAAGTTGACATTTTATTGAATCCAACAAACTATTCTATCATTCAGAGAGAAGTATTTGCTCCTTTTACGGTTGGCCGTAGCTTCAGGTTAAAAATAAAAAAAAGGTTTTTTTTACTGCTCAGGCACTCTACGCTCAAACTGACGCTGCTCACTCTACTTTTGCAAAGAAAAAGTTAATCTTCCAACTCCTCCTTTGAGTGCTCATAGTTTGAAAAGTTTACATGTTATGTAAAAACAGTTGTTGTGTTTTGGAGAGAGCAGAAGTTTTCCTCTGTTTTATAGTTTGAATCACATTTCTACGTGCAGGTATGAGAGAGCTGGGTGACTCAGAAAAAAGGTGAAATGTTGTAGAAAAAAGGTGAAATTTTGTGGGTTTCTAAAGAAAATTCCAATGCATTCCTAATGCATTATTTATTCCCAGTATTTTGGGAATAACTTTGGGAAAAATTGGAATTTTAACACCAAAAGTCATAGCACCTCTTTCGGGATCAAGACGCACGTTTTGATGTATATATTACTGGGGTTTTCTCAAAGCTGCGGGACGAGTTACGCGCCGAAATTTGGCGGAAGAATAATAATAAGCCCGAAGGAATATTAATAGATGCCTCGGAGCTGAGCACCCGTGGCACTAATTATAGTTATCGTCACATGACCAGCATTTACGTTGCGTCTCGTCTCGTTTTCGTCATGTGATAAAGGTTCGTTGACGAAGATATTTAGTCATAATTTTCGTTGACGAAAGCAACACTAGCAGTAACCGGCCAGAGTATCAGCAGTAGTACTATCACAGTGTAGTACTGATGAAGTATTCTGCAGGTGGTGGAGTACAGAGGTCGATGTCAGCGTCTGGAGCTTCAGCTGCAGGAAGATCAGACACAGCTGCTGCACACTGAGGTCAGATACTGGTGTAATACTAATACTGCTACAGTACTACAGTACTAAAGTACTACAGAGCAGTGTTCCAGATGTTGAGTATTTGTGCTGTTGTGTTTGTGCAGCGGAGGATCAGAGATGAACACAGTGACTCTCTGGAGAGCGCCCTCATCAGACTGGAGGAGGAACAGCAGAGGTGTGTGTGTGTGTGTGTGTGTGTGTGTGTGTGTGTGTGTGTGTGTGTGTGTGTGTGTGTGTGTGTGTGTGTGTGTGTGTGTGTGTGGTGTGGCTGTGGTGTGTGTGTGTGTGTGTGTGTGTGTGTGTGTCAGACTCACCTGTGTGTGACTCTTCAGGTCAGTCAGTCTGGTCCAGACCAATGGTCTCCTGCGGGAGCAGCTCAGCCAATCAGAGCACACCAACCAGGTCCTGAGGGAGGACCTCCAGAAGCTGACAGCTGATTGGACGAGAGCAGTGGAGGAGGCAGAACAGAGAGAGTCTGATTGGCTGAGAGAGAAGGAGGTCTGCAGGTTTTACTCTGTTCACTGAAAGTTTTAGATTTGATTTTCAGACTGAGCCACCTTTAATTTGAAAATCTGACTGTGCGTGTGTGTGGTGTAGTGCCGGTCAGGTCATGTGGGTCAGCAGCAGGCTCGCTTGTTGTCAGTCTGGAGGTCTGTAGTTGCTCTGAGGCGACAGTGTCACACGGTTAAAACAGCTGCTGACAGGTACGTCTCTCACACTGACCACATGTTAACCAACCTGCTGTTAGTTTACCAACACATGTTTATACACCTGTGATGAATCTGCTGCTGGTTGATCACCTGTCTCTGTCTGCAGGGATCTGTGGCAGTTGAGGGCGGAGTTTTCTCGTCTCTCCTCCTCTCTCCTCTCCAGCTGTGACTCCGTTTCCTCCTCCCTGCGGCTCAGCGCTCCTCACATCAAACCTTCCTCCTCCTCTGTGCCTCCCCCTGTTCTCCTCTCTGACCTGCCTCCCCCCTCATCCTCTCCCCCTCCTCTGTCCTCCACTCTGGTCCTCCCTCCTGCAGACTCCTTGGCCTCTGACCCTCCTCTTGTCTCCTCCTCCACCCTGGGAACCTTCTCCTTGCGGGAGCTGGAGCACAAAGAGGAGGAGGAGCTCCTCCACGAGGCTGAAGTCTCTCAGCTGAAGGAGCGGTAAGTGACTTACACCTCCTCCACCTACGTTTCTGCTGAGGTTCAGACTTCAACCTCCCTCTCTCTCTCTCTGTCTCTCTCTCTCTCTGTCTCTCTCTCTCTCTCTGTCTCTCTCTCTTTCTGTCTCTCCCTCTCTCTGTCTCTCTCTCTCCCCCTCTCTCTCTCTCTCTCTGTCTCTCTCTCTTTCTGTCTCTCCCTCTCTCTGTCTCTCTCTCTCCCCCTCTCTCTCTCTCTCTGTCTCTCTCAGGATTGTGGAGCTCTCCCGCTCACTGCAGGCGGAGCAGAGTCAGAGGGAGGAGAGAGAGAGAGAGGTAGAGAGACACATAGAGACAGAGAGGAGGCTGCAGTCTGTCAGTCAGGCTGTGATCAGACTGGTGAGTCAGGGATGATCAATATGACAATATATATTTCCATACTGATCGATATCAGTAATAATCATTTATCACAATGAATGAATGAACAAACTCTGAATGTAAACTCCACAGAGGCTTTTAATTTGACGGAGGTTGTGTTGTGTCTCCAGTCCAGAGTCCTGAACAGCAGCAGCAGCAGCAGCAGGAGGACTGTGTCTCTGTGTGTCTCCTCAGACAGCGTCCTCAGTCTGGACCTGTCCTCCCTGCTGTCTGTCCTGTCTCAGACAGAGAGCACCCTGCAGTGGAGACATGAGGAACTGCAGGTCAGTAACAGAGCAGCTTCTACTGCAGGCCAGAGGTCACAGAGGTGTCTAAATCTGACGTGTGTGTGTGTGGGTGGGTGTGTGTGTGGGTGTGTGTGTGTGGGTGTGTGTGGGTGTGTGTGGGTGTGTGTGGGTGTGTGGGTGTGGGTGTGGGTGGGTGTGGGTGGGTGTGTGGGTGTGTTTCAGGGGGCAGAGCTATCTCTGCGGCGGCTCGGTGAGGAGAAAGCAGCTCTACAGCTGCGACTGAAACAGCTGGAGGATGACAAGGTGGGTGTGGGTGTGGGTGGGTGTGTGTGTGTGGGTGTGTGTGGGTGTGGGTGTGGGTGGGTGTGGGTGGGTGTGTGGGTGTGTTTCAGGGGGCAGAGCTATCTCTGCGGCGGCTCGGTGAGGAGAAAGCAGCTCTACAGCTGCGACTGAAACAGCTGGAGGATGACAACCAGCAGCTGCAGACACACACACAACACACTCAGCTGGAGCTCACACACACTCTGGACGTACTGAGCAGGTACACACACCTGAATACACACATCTGAATACACACCTGACAGTATAAGAGATCCTTGTGTTACACAGTTGATTCCTTCAGCTGCTGAAAGCAGCACCTGTCCAGTTTTAATCATGTGATGACGGTGATGTGTTTGTGTGGACAGGGAGCAGGAGGCGTCGTCTTCTCTGCGTCTGCAGCTGGAGGAGGTGAAGAGGAGGGAGGAGGAGGTGAAGAGAGAGAACGACAGACTGAGGAGAGAGAGAGACAGACAGGAGGAGAGGAACAGACAGCTGGAGACAGAGACACACAGACGGTACTCTACTCTGTTCTACTGAGTTCTACTCTACTGTGTTCTACTCTGAGTTCGACTCTGTTCCACTGAGTTCTACTGAGTTCTACCCTGTTCTACTGAGTTCTACTCTACTGTGTTCTACTCTGAGTTCGACTCTGTTCCACTGAGTTCTACTCTACTGTTTTCTACTCTGAGTTCGACTCTGTTCCACTGAGTTCTACTGTGTTCTACTCTACTGAGTTCTATTCTACTGAGTTCTATTCTGTTCCACTGAGTTCTACTGTTTTCTACTCTACTCTGTTCTACTGAGTTCTACTCTACTGTGTTCTACTCTGAGTTCAACTCTGTTCCACTGAGTTCTACTGAGTTCTACCCTGTTCTACTGAGTTCTACTCTACTGTGTTCTACTCTGAGTTCAACTCTGTTCCACTGAGTTCTACTGAGTTCTACTCTACTGTTTTCTACTCTGAGTTCGACTCTGTTCCACTGAGTTCTATTGAGTTCTACTCTACTGTTTTCTACTCTACTCTGTTCTACTGTGTTCTGCTCTAAGTTCTACTCTGTTCCACTGAGTACTACTGAGTTCTACTCTACTGCGTCTGCTCTACTGAGTTCTACTCTACTGTGTTCTACGCTGAGTTTGACTCTGTTCCACTGAGTTCTACTGTGTTCTACTCTACTGAGTTCTACTCTGTTCTGAGTTTTACTGAGTTCTAGTCTACTGAGTTTTACTCTGTTCCACTGAGTTCTACTGAGTTCTACTCTACTGTGTTCTACTCTGAGTTCGACTCTGTTCCACTGAGTTCTATTGAGTTCTACTCTACTGTTTTCTACTCTACTCTGTTCTCCTGTGTTCTGCTCTAAGTTCTACTCTGTTCCACTGAGTACTACTGAGTTCTACTCTACTGCGTCTACTCTACTGAGTTCTACTCTACTGTGTTCTACTCTGAGTTTGACTCTGTTCCACTGAGTTCTACTGTGTTCTACTCTACTGAGTTCTACTCTGTTCTGAGTTTTACTGAGTTCTAGTCTACTGAGTTTTACTCTGTTCCACTGAGTTCTACTGAGTTCTACTCTACTGTGTTCTGTGTTCTACTCTACTAAGTTCGACTCTGTTCCACTGAGTTCTACTGAGTTCTACTCTACTGTGTTCTACTCTACTGAGTTTTACTCTGAGTTCTACTCTGTTCCACTGAGTGCTACTTTGTTCTACTCTACTGTGTTCTACTCTGAGTTCTACTCTGTTCCACTGAGTTCTACTCTACTCTGTTCTACTCTACTGTGTTCTACTGTGTTCTACTCTACTAAGTTCTACTGAGTTCTACTCTACTGTGTTCTACTCTATTGTTTTCTACTGTACTGTGTTCTATTCTACTAAGTTTTACTGAGTTCTACTCTACTGTGTTCTACTCTAAGTTCTACTCTACTGAGTTCTACTCTGTTTTACTCTACTGTGTTCTACTCTACTGTGTTCTGCTGAGTTCTACTCTGTTCCACTGAGTCCTACTCTACTGTTTTCTACTCTACTCTGTTCTACTGTGTTCTACTCTACTGTGTTCTGCTGAGTTCTACTCTGTTCCACTGAGTTCTACTCTGTTTTCTACTCTGTTCCACTGAGTTCTACTGAGTTCTACTCTACTGTGTTCTACTCTGTTCTACTCTACTGTGTTCTACTCTGTTCTACTGTGTTCTACTCTACTGTGTTCTACTGAGTTATACTGTGTTCTACTGTGTTCTACTTTACTGAGTTCTACTCTGTTCCACTGAGTTTTACTCTACTGTGTTCTACTCTACTCTGTTCTACTGTGTTCTACTCTACTGTGTTCTGAGTTCTACTCTGTTCCACTGAGTTCTACTCTACTGTGTTCTACTCTATTGTCTTCTACTCTACTCTGTTGTACTCTACTGTGTCCTCCTGAGTTCTGTTTAACAGAAGAAGTCAGTCTCTGAGCTGCCTCAGTTTTCAAACCAAAGGTTTTTGATGTTAAACTCTGATTCACGTTAAGATGAACATGTTGTTGTTTTTCTGTCGGCTGATGTTCGTTAACCAGCCGTTAACTAAGATGAAATATTTAGAAAACACTGTGGTTAAAGTTAATCAGTTAATAGTGAACACAAACCTTTGCACAATGTAAAACAATATAAACAGGAATAATTAATGAAAAAGCAAGTAGAAGTTATAATGAAATTAGGCTCCAGAAAAGATAAATAAATAAAAACTGAAGGAAATATGAAGGATAAAATGACTGATCACTGAACAGATGTTGGAGCTGTGATGTTTGTGTTTCAGGGTGGAGACTGAGCTGCTGGAGAACGTCCAGCTGACGGAGAGAGAGACTCTTCACCTCCTGGAGATCAACTCTCTGAAGGTAAAAGACCAGGACAGAGTTACTGTTTGTCACTGCTCTGGCTTCTCATCACTCTGACCATCAGGAGTCTGTGTCTCTGTGTCTCTGTCCTCCTGTCCTGTCCTCCTGTAGGGGGCGCTGGAGAGAGAGCAGCTGGACAAACAGAGGGCAGAAGAAGAAGCAGCCGATGCCAGAGACACTCTGCAGCAGGTTCAGACTGTCTCCATCTAAACTTTAAAACACTGACACCTGAACAACATCACAGCTGTTAAACATCAACAGAACTGCATCACAGCAACATCTGGGGAGGCTGATCACATCTGTCTGTGAAGGTCAAAATCAACATGAGCCCATGACAATGAAAACAGGAACAGCTGGAGATGACAGAGAGTTTGTCTGCTGAGAGTTAAACCATAACCTCTGTGTTTTAATGCAGCTGTTCTCATTCAGACTTCCTGTTCTCACCCCCCCACCCCCCACCCCCACCCCCTCCAGTCCAGGGAGTGTGTGCTGCGTCTCTCCACCTCTGAGTGTGAGTTAAAGCGGGAGTTGGATGAGGGGCGGGACGCTCTGGACAAGATGGCCGCCCTGAATTCAGCTCTGGCGTCAGACAAGAGAGAGCTGAACAAACAGCTGCTGCAGGTACCGCTGCTCGCTTCACCCCTCTCTCTCTTTCTGACAGTGCCTGGCTCAACGGCTCCTGACCTGTGTTTATGTGTGTGTGTGCAGCTGGAGTGTGAGCTGTCAGACAGCCAATCACAGCTGCAGGCTGTGAGGTCAGAGGTCAACTCTCTGCAGAGAGAGGTCAAGACCCTCAACATGGACTGCAGCCAGCTCAGGTGAGTCTGGTCTCTCTGATTAGTTTGTACATGAACCTTAATCCTGACTGTAAAACATTCAATCCAGAATACAAACATTAGACTGTAAACATAACACTTTAATTCTCAAAATAAATCCTTTAATCCTAAATTGAAAATTTATAATCCTGAATTTAAACCTTTAATCCTGAGTTTAATCCTGTAATTCTGAGTTTAACCTCTAATCTTGAGTCTAAATGTTTAATCCTGAGTTTAATCCTTTAATCCTGAGTTTAACCTGTAATCTTTGGTTTAAACCTTTAATCCTGACTTTAACTTTATTATTTGACGGTATTGTGTCTCGTGTGTCGTGTTCAGAGCTCAGAGGGAGGTTGAGGCCGACGTCGTCCATCAGCTGAGAGAAAAAGAGGTGGAGCTGGAGAGAAAGATGGAGGAGAAGGAGAGAGAGCTGGTCTTCCTGATGGAGGAGAGAGAGGGGGAAGGACGGCAGCGGGAGGAGGTAGAGAGGAGGAGGAGTGAATTGTTGATCATGTGACACACCTGTAATACCTGTAGACTTGTCTGATACAGTGTGCGGTCCTCAGCTCTCCTCCCAGCATGCCTCAGTGTGCGGGGAGCTGAAGGAGGCGCAGGAGCAGCTGCGGCAGGCAGTGGAGGAGGCAAGGAGGAGAGACAGACAGCAGGAGGAACAGCAGAGAGACAGCAGGAGGTTGCAGGAGGAGAAGGACAGTCTACAGAGACACAGGGAGCAGCTGGAGGAGGAGCTGCAGGAACTCAGGTATTGAATACACCTGAGCAGGTGACACAGTAGAACTGTGTGACTGACTGACTGACTGACTTATTATTCCACATTATATTATAGTAAAATATTATTATTGTTACTTTCCTGAATCATCAAAAGTTTTTCACCATATAAACAAAACCAAATGAGCCAAATGTGATATCTGTGGTCACATGACCTCATGACTGTGGACATGTTCCCTCAGTGATTTAAAGGAAACTTTATTTATACAGGACATTTCAAACAGTGAAACAGTCAGCAACAAGATCAGAATAAAACTGGACTGAACTCTCTGTCTGTCTCTCTCTGTCTCTGTCTCTCTCTCTCTCTCTCTCTGTCTCTGTCTCTCTCTCTGTCTCTCTCTCTCTCTGTCTCTGTCTCTCTCTCTCTGTCTCTCTGTCTCTCTCTCTGTCTCTGTCTCTCTCTCTGTCTCTCTTCTCCCTCTGTCTCCCTCTCTGTCTCTCTGTCTCTCTCTCTGTCTCTCTCTCCCTCTGTCTCCCCCTTCTCTCTCTCTCTGTCTCTCTGTCTCTCTCTCTGTCTCTCTCTCTCCCTCTGTCTGCCCCTTCTCTCTCTCTCTGTCTCTCTCTCTGTCTCTCTCTCTCCCTCTGTCTGCCCCTTCTCTCTCTCTCTGTCTCTCTCTCTGTCTCTCTCCCTCTCCACAGATCTGTGTCAGTGTCTCTCCACCAGCAGCTCAGTCAGCAGCAGGAGCAGCTGTCACAGGTGGAGGTGGACAGATGTCAGCTGAACACACACATCCACACTGTGCAGCAGGCAAAACACACCTTACAAGGTGTGTGTGTGTGTGTGTGTGTGTGTGTGTGTGCGTGCGTGCGAGTGAGTGTGAGAGAGAGATGTTTGTTTATAACTGTTGATGTTTCTGTGAAGGAGAGATCGAGTGTCTGAGAGGAGAGCTGGAGCAAACGACGGCCAGGAGAGAGAGGAACGAGGAGGAGAGGGAGGCGCTGAAAGACGTGATGGAGAGGCTGAGAGAAGAGGTGGAGGAGCTAAGGAGGAGGAGGGAAGAGGAGGAAGAGGAGAGCGGGAAGGAGAAAGAGGCCTGGCAGCGAGAGAGGGAGGCCCTGAGCGAGGAGCTGGGGACAATGGATGGAGAGGTGGAGGCGCTGAGGAGACGCATAGAGGGACTGACGGAGGAAAGGGAGGAGAGACAGAGGGAGGTGGAGAGACTGAGGGATGAGGTAACGGAGAGGGAGGTGAAAATCAGCCACATGATGGAGAGAGCACAGCAAGCAGAAGGAGAGAGGGAGAAACTGGAGGAGGAGGTGAAGAAGACAAAGGTCAGGTTGAGAGATGAGGAGGTGAAGAGGGAGGAGAGGAAGGAGGAGGAGATGCAGAGGAACAGAGAGATCGATGCGCTCTGTGACCGGCTAGAGAGATTAGAGAGAGAGAAGGAGGAAAAGGAGGAGGAGGTGGCGAGATGGAGGACCAGAGTGGAGGAGATGGAGGAGGAGATGAGAAATGAGAGACTACAGGATGAAGGAGAGGAGGAGAAGAGGAGGAGGAGGGAGGAGGAAGTGGAGCGACTGAGGGGTGAAGCGAGGGCAGCAGAGGAGGAGGTGGAGAGATTGAGGGGTAGGGTGGAGGAGGTGGAGTGGGAGAGAGAGGAGCAGAAGAGAAAGGAGGAGAGACTGCAGGAGGAGAAGGAGGAGGTTGTGGGGGGACTGATGGAGAAGCTGAAGGAGAATTTGGGGGAGGTGGAGCTGCTGAGGGTGAGGCTGAACGTGGCCAAGGAGGAGTGTGAGGAGGTTAAGGAGGAGGTGGAGCGGAGGGAGCGCAGCCTGGAGCATCAGATGAGCGCTGTGAGGGAGAGGGAGGAGGAGGTGGAGCAGCTGAAGGAGCAGCTGAGGCTGGTGGAGGAGCGAGAGGAAGAGGGAGCGAGGGAGCAGCAGGAGGTGACAGAGAGACTGAAGCAGATGGAGGCGAGGGAGGAGCAGCTGGAGATGCTGCTGAGAGAAACCCGGGATCTCCTGGAGAGAGAGAGGAGGGAGGCAGGAGAAAAAGATGACAGGATCTCCTTCCAGGTCAAGGAGCTGCAGGAGGCTCAGTCAGAGAGTGAGGGAGCAAGGAGGAGAGCCAGACGGAGGGAGGAGGCCAGCATCAGGCTGGAGGGGGAGGTGAAGGAGTGGCAAGAGAAGGCAGAGCGGAGCACGAGGGAGGCAGCAAAGGTTAGCCACCTCCTGAAGGAACGAGAGGAGGAGGTGCAGCAGCTCAGAGCCACGCTGGAGGAGAGGGAAGAGGAGGAGGGGAGAGAGAGGGAGGCACTGAGGAGAACGGAGGAGGAGAGGAGGAGGAGGCTGGACAAGAAGCTAAAGGAGGTGGAGGAAGAGAAGAGGAGACTGGAGGAGAAAGTGAGGGAGGTGGAGGAGGAGCAGGAGGAGGAGAGGGAGGCGCTGAGGAGAGCAAGGGAGGAGAGCAGGACGCTGGAGGACAGATGGGAGGAAACGAAAAACGAAGTGAAGGAGCAAAGAGAGGAGCTGAGGAGGACAGAGGAGGAGAAGAGGAGGCTGGAGAACAGATTGATGGTGATGCAGGAGGGGAGAGAGGGAGAGGAGGAGGAGCTGAGGAGGGCGAGGGAGGAGAAGAGGAGGCTGGAGGATAAGCTGATAGAGAGGGAGAAAGAAATGGAGGGACAAAGGGAGAGTCTGAGGAGTAAAGAGGAGGAAAAGAGGAAGCTTGAGGATGAACTGAGGAAGGCCAAAGAGGAACGAGGGAGACTGGTAGAGAGAGATCAGCTCCTCCTGGTGGAGGAGAAAGGGAGGTGCAGGGTGAGAGAGCTGGAGGAGGAGATGACAGGACTGTCAGTGGAGCTGAGGAGGAGGGAGGGGGAGGTGACAGCTCTTAGAGAGGAGGTGCAGAGGGTGAGGGCACAGGATGAGCTGAGGAGGAGAGAGGAGGTGTCTTCACTTAGAGAGGAGGTAACAAGGGAACAAAGGGAGAAAGAGGAGGCACAGGAGAACCTGAGCAGGAGGAGAGAGGAGATGACTGCTCTCAGAGAGGAGGTGCAGAGGGAGTGGAGGCAGAGGGAGGAGGTGCAGGAGGATCTGAGGAGGAGCAGAGAGGAGGTGTGTGTACTAAGAGAGGAGGTAACAAGGGAACAAAGGGTGAAGGAGGAGGTGCAGGAGAACCTGAGGAGGACTGAGAAGGAGGTGACAGCTCTCACCGAGGCAGTGAAAAGGGAACAGGAGGAGAAGAAGGAGGCACAGGAGGAGATGACAGCCCTCAAGGAAGAGGTCCAGAAGGAGCAAAGGAGGAGGGAGGAGACCCATGAGAAGTTGAGGCAGAGGGAGGAAGTACAGGACGAGCTGAGGAGGAGCGAGAGGAAGCTGTCTGCTCTTAGAGAGGAGGTACAAGAGGAAAAACGGGAGAAGAAGGAGGCGCAGCAAGAGCTTATGAAGAGGAGAGAAGAGGTGACTGCTCTCAGAGAAGAGGTGCAGAGGGAGTGGAGGCAGAGGGAGGACGTGCAGGAGGAGCTGAGGAGGACCAGGGGTGAGCTGATGGTCATCACAGAGGAGGTGCACAAGGAGCAGAGGGAGAAGGAGCAGACACAGGAGAAGTTACTGAAGGCGGAGAAGGAGGCGACAGCGCTCGGACAGGAGGCGCAGCAGGAGCGGAGGAGGAGGGAGGAGGTGCAGGAAGAGCTGAGAGGAGTGCAGCAGAGTGTGGAGGTGATGTCAGTGAACCTGAGCTCCCTGCAGACTCAGGTAAGTCTCACCTGAACAAACTGACCAGAAGTTTGTGGACACGACTCACCTGGTTCTGTGTTTCAGGTGTCCGGTCTGAGTCAGAGCAGGGAGCGAGCCAGGCAGGAGGTGAAGCTGAAGGAGGAGGAGATGCAGCAGATGAAGGAGGGTCTGAGGGCCGCGCTGGAGGAGATGACCAACCTGAAACTCCTCCTGCAGGTACAGCACTTCCTGCTCCTGACCCAGGACAACCACAATACAGATGCTAATCAGCTGTTTCCTGTCTTAATGCTAAGCTAAGCTAACTGTTACCTCTGTTCCCAATCTTGATGCTCAGCTAAGCTAACTGTTTTCCTCTGTTCCCAATCTTGATGCTAAGCTAAGCTAACTGTTTCCCACTGTTTATAGTCTTTACGCTAAGCTAGCTGTTACCCCTTTTTGCAGTTTTATGCTAAGCTAAGCTAACCACGCCCTGACTAGTGAATACATTCATTCATCTTTCCCACATCCTGCCAGGAGAGCCATGCTGAGGGGGAGCGTCTGAGGAGCGCTCTGAAGGAGAAGAAGGAAGAGGCGGAGAGGATCAGAGAGGAGAACCTAAGGAGTGTCAGGGAGGGGGTGCAGAGACAGAGAGGGGAGATGGAGAATGAAAGAGCAGAGGTGGAGGAGCTGAGAGCCAGAGCCAAGGCCCTGGAGAGGAGGAGGAGGGAGATGATGGAGGAGCTGGAGGAGGCGCGACAGGCGAAGGAGAGGGCGGAGGAGGAGAGGAGCGAGGCCGAGGAGCGATGGAGGAGCAGAGTCAAAGAGATGGAGCAGGAGCAGGAGCTGAAGCTGAAAGATCTGCTGGGAGAAATCCAGGCACTAAAGGAGAGACAGGAGGAGGCTGAGAAGGAGTGGAGGTCCAGGGAGGAGGAGAGAGGGAGGGAGGTGGAGGAGAGCCGGGCTGAGCTGTGCCGGGTCAGAGCTACGGCGGCCATGTTGGAGGAGCAGAAAACACAGATCTCCCCCCTGGCTGCTGAGAGAGCAAGAGAGAGGGAGAAGGAGGAGGAGGAGAGAGAGGAGGTGGGCGGACAGAGGAGCAAGAGGAATGACCAAGAGACAGAGGACAGGAAGAAAGGAAGAGGACAGGTGAGTTTTAACTGAAGAGTGAAGAAACATACAAAAACACCTGATATTTCTAAACAGTTTATGTTTCATCATTTCAGGAGGAGGAGGAGGAGGAGCACATCTCCTCTCTGCTGCAGGAGAAAGAGGAGATCAGGAGGCTGCTGAGGCAAAGAGAAGCTGAGGTTCAAAAAGACTAAGTCCTGGTCTGTTGCTGTGAATAAACAGGTTTTATTTAATGCTGTTTACTGTAACATCATGATGTTGTCGTCCAGGTTTACACTCTGACTCAGAGGAGCCAGGATCTGGAGAGGGACAGGGATCGAGTCCGATTGGCTCTGGAGCGAACTGAGGCAGCTATGATTGGTTACAGGGAGAGAGCCCACCAACAGGAGCAGAGCTCGGGGGCGGGACCTAACCCAGACCAGGCCAGTGTCTCTGATTGGTCGATACGACAGGGATATCCTGAGCACCTGACTGCGGTGGAGCTAAGTGTGTGTGTGTGTGTGTCAGCAGGCTGTCGGGGACAGACTGGTGGTCCTGCAGCATCTGGTGGCTGAACTGGAGCTGGAACAGAAACGACTGAACAAGAAAAACTCTCACCTGGAAAATCAGAAGGACAAACTGAAGAGAAACAGAGACACACTGAGAGACACACTGAGACAGGTACACAGACTGAGAGACAGGTACACAGACTGAGAGACACACTGAGACAGGTACACAGACTGAGAGACAGGTACACACACTGATTTTGTATCATTGTGTTTCAGGTAGAGGAGGAGCGTTCAAGGCTCAGACAGCAGCTGATTGACATGAGATCTCAGGTGAGACACACACACAGGCACATCTGTGTGTGTGTGTGTGTGTGTGTGTGTGTGTGTGTGTGTGTGTGTGTGTGTGTGTGTGTGTCTGTGTCAACCCTTTGTGTTTGTTCAGCAGACTGCAGACACCACAGAAGAAGAGCGCCTGAGGAGCCGAGTGAGGGAGCTGGAGGACCAGGTGAGAGCAGCATAGAAGAAGAGTTTCAGGTGTTCTGAGTTGTCAGGTGGATGCTGATGACATCAGTGTCTTCTCCCCTCAGGTGAGTCAGCTCCGTCTCTCATTGGCTGTGGATCAGCAGCAGAGGGCGGAGTTTATCCAACAGTCCTCCAGAAACAGCCAGTGGCTGCTCTCTCTGAGACACGACCTCAGCGATTCGCTGGCCACCGTCACACGCCGTCCAATCCCGTCTGTCCTGGAGTCTGAGACGCAGCGATTGGACCGCAGCCTGAGGGAGGAGGAGCTTAGAATGTCCCTCAGCCAATCATAATGCCTGAAAATAAAAAAGACTTAAAACCTCAACAGGCTTTAAGAAAAATCTCCTGTTCTGTTGCTATGGAAACGGCTTGATTATTCAGAGCCACATTTTACTGAGTTTTTTAAAGAGCTGTCTTCTGATTGGCTGATTGCAGCAGTCGAGTCCCAGTGAAGACTCCCTGTGGAGTTTAAAGCTGTTTGACCACATTTAACCGTTACTGATCAGTTATTTATTCTGTTGTATTTGTTTTCAGTTTTCATCTGTCACTTTGACCCCTGAGCCATGACATTACATTTCATGATCCTTCAGTCTGAGCTGAGACTGTCTTGTGAAGGTCAGAGGTCAGCTGTGTGTTTGTATAAAGTTAAATAAAGTTTTTATATCGTGGATGGTCTTTCATTAGATTTTTGTTCTGGCTGTAATTACTTGTGCCGCCTGAGGGGGGCGCTGACAGATCTTTGTTCGTGTTTCAACTTCCTCAACGACCCCTGGAACTTTCTCAGATTCCTTGAACCTCCACAAGAACCATCAAAACCTTTCAAGGTAGATGTGAACTACACACGTGAATCTGACAAGAAACGTCCAATCACAGAGATTAAAAATTTGTCACATGATCCGCTAACAGCGACAAGCTGAGAAAACTGAAAATAAGACCTGCAGCTAAAATTCTGGACCGGTTCTGACAGAGATCTGACTGGCCTCTTCTCCATGGCAACAGTGCCTGAGGCTCATGGGTACTGTAGTAGTCAGACCTGTCAGAACATAAACATTATCCAGGAGAGTTCAGAGTCTGAGACATGTCCCCAAGTCTGGACCGACCCGGACCGGGAGCTTCATGTAGACCAGAAACCTCAAACTGAATCACAGACTTTTCTGTTTTTCCGTTGGAGTAAATTTTGAAGAGGTCATGGTCGCTGACTCGTCCTGTGATGTAAGTTAAGTTTCTGGAAATGTGTGAATCTGCTCAGTTCCTTCGGCTCTACTGTGACTCTGCACATTAAACCTCAGAGACTCACCTGTGCGCTGTGACAACAAACATCACACAAATGTTTACGCACACAGTTTGTTGTTTCACATGTAGTTTTCCTCTGGGCACTGAGCGGCCCGTTAGCTGCTTCTGCTGAGTGTGAACCTTTCACACCTGCTCACCTACTCACCCGCTCACCCGTGTCACCTGTGTCACATGAGCCTGTGGCAGCAATCAGAGGTGTTAACAGGCTTCAGTATAAACAACATGATGCAACCAGGTCATTAGAGACAGATCACTCTGTTTTTCTCTCTGTCGTGATCTTCAACACATGATGTCACCTTAAAGGTTCAGTTCACCAGAATCACAGAACATATTCTTAAACTATTCCGACGATTGTTTTGATTTAACTTTCCAGTTCCAGTCATTCTCAAAAACAAATAACATCCACGGCTTCAGGTTTCATCCTGTTGTTGGCCCCTGGCTGATTTTACATCGTCCAAGTGACAGAAACATCTCTGTCCTACAGTGCGACACATCACACGATCAGAACTACAGCAGCTGCATGTCCAGCCTGGAACATGTTAATGTCATAACACATGAAACTGAAACACTGACTGAATCTCAGAAAGTGTCTCTCCTGCTTGAGAAGTTTTCATTGTCCTTGAATCAAGGGCAACACCGATCAACATGACACGCTGACTGGGAAGCAAAGAACTCTGGGAACGCTTGGTCACATGGGCCCAGAGAGTCGCCATGTTGCAGATCGCCTGCTCCCGGGTCGGAGCACATATCAGCCAATCATCCACCTATGGAAGAATCCGCACTCCCCTGGTCTGCAGCGGAGAAAGCGCTGCTGCAATGCATATAGTGAAGATCTGGATCCAAGCCAGAGCCCTCAGGGTCGTTGACAAGTCATTGAGACGCCGTTAAACCTTTGGGGCTGACGCCTGAACTGGATGCTGTACCCCTTGGAAAGGGTTGACAACAGGGTCCAGCCCAGGGTCTGAAAACAAGGCCTCCCAGCAGCTGAGATGTTGCAGAAAGACACTGCTCATGTCTGGACTTTGGAAGTTAGGCCTGACCCCCATGACCTTTGGGTGGCCTGGGAGGTCGGTGGCTGGAAGCCCTGTGTTTGGGTGTCTGACAGGCAGGCTGCAGAGGGGCCCGCTGGGGGTGCCCCTGTTGAAAAGATGAGTGTCCAGCTCTTGAGGGACTAGGAGTGATGGCTGAAGGGCGAGGAATGCTGGTGTGTACAGGCTTAGGCAAAGGTGTCCGACACAATCAGCAAACTGTTGTCTGACCTCATTTACTCGTGTGCTGTGTTGATCCAAAGCCTGTTGGGCTGCAGGCCCAAACATCAGCCTGGAATAGGCAGTGTGCGAAGTGTCTTCCTGCACCCCTCTGATAATGGGGACAGGGCGAGCCACACTTGGCGCCAAGCCGAGGTCAAAGCGGACATCAGCTCTCTGGCAATGAAGGCAAATACCTGGAGTGAAGCATCACTCAACTCTGCGTTGAGGCATCAACTCCAGACAGAACCAGGTCCCGTCATATGTCCCATCTGAGCTGGTAGCTCTAGGTAAGGAGGACGTCAGTGATCCTACACCGCGGGCGTGGGAAACGGGCATCTGGTCTCGCTATCGGAGAAGTGATGGAAGCATCTGGTCTAGGCCACACTGGGCAGCATCCTTCATAGCAGCCAGGGTCAGTCACTGGGTAGGTGGAGAAACGCTTTGGGGTCAGGCCAGCACCTCTGCACTGTTTCATGTATTATATAATATTATAATATAAGTGGATTTACTAACCAAAGATGTGGACGTGGTCTCAGACAGGGTGGGGTGGTGGGGTGATTCATGAGAGGATCAAACTTTGGGCGAATGAAGAGTTTGATTCACAGAGTGAAGGAGGAGGGAGAGGAGATAAAGGAGCAGTCAGACAGAGCTGTGGTCACTCGGCTCCTCTCATGATGGAAGAGGCTGAGCTCTGCTTCCCACAGCTCCTCAACACCTCCTGCAGGAGGCCGCAGCCTCCTCACTCTGAGGCTCTGCTCGTTTACATCCTGCTGTTCTTCATCTCTGTGCTCACTGCCGCTCTCAACCTGCTGCTCATCATCTCCATCTCCCACTTCAGGTAAGTGCACACCTGAGTGCAGATCCACTGTTGTCCTGAGATTCACAGGAAGAAAAAGAAGAGCTGATGAAACCATGTTTAAATCCACAGCTTGTGTTGTTGAGTTTCTGTAGAAAATAATCTCCACTCATCAGAGTTTTACAGGTTCACAGGTTGATATGAAACCACAGGAAACACTGGATTATTGTTGATGTCAAAATAAAATGTCAGTGGTCTGAAGTTTTCAATCATTTAACATTTAACTTGTGAACTGTCTCCCTGTTTTTCCAGCTTCTGTCCTGTAACTTCAGGGTCCCTCACAGCGTGGGAACTTTGACTTTCAGAGTTTTCTACTTTGCATCTGTGTTTTCTTTTGTGTAACCTGGTGACTTTTATTTTAACGCTAACTACAAATGTGTCCACAGGTTCACTGACTCTGATGTAAAACCACAGGGTTGAAGTAGATTTGACTCAGTCTGATGAACCTGCTGCTGCCTGTAGCTGTGGTCTTTTACTCTGATGAACTGTGGTTTGAATGATTCTTGGCTGCTGTTTCTTCATCACCTTGTTGGTGTCCTGTGGTTTCAGGCAGCTCCACTCCCCCACCAACCTCATCCTTCTCTCTCTGGCGGTCTCGGACTTCTTCGTGGGCCTCCTGGTGATCCCGGTTGAGATCCTCATGACGGGGACCTGCTGGGTCCTGGGAGATCTCATGTGTGCGCTGTACTTCCTCCTGCCTTACACCCTGATCTCCGCCTCTGTAGGGAGCATGGTCCTCATATCAATCGACCGCTACGTGGCGATCTGTGACCCCCTGCGTTACCCCACCAGGGTCACTGTGAGGGTGGTGACGGCCGCTGTATGTCTGTGTTGGCTCTGCTCTGTTGTCTACAGCGTTGCCATCATGTATGATCACCTGAAACAACCGGGCAGGTATAATCCCTGCCATGGAGAGTGTGTGGTTAACGTGGCGGGAGACGTGGACCTCGCTGTCGCCTTCGTTATCCCCATCGCTATCATCACAGGTCTGTATGTGAGAGTGTTTGCAGTGGCGGTGTCTCAGGCTCGTGCCATGCGCTCTCACACTGCCGCCGTCACAGTCGGGTACTCGATGACTCTGACGGCGAGGAGGTCTGAGCTGAAGGCGGCCCGGACTCTGGGGGTTCTGGTCGCTGTGTTTCTGATCTGTTACTCTCCGTACTACTGTCTGTCTATGTCGGGTGGAAACATCCTGGTGGGTTCCTCCACTGAGGTGTTCATGAGCTGCCTGATGTACTTTAACTCCTGTCTGAACCCGCTCCTCTACGCCCTGTTCTACCCCTGGTTCAGAAAAGCTGTGAGACTCATTGTCACTCTTCAGATCCTGCAGCCTGGATCCTGTGAGGCCAGCGTCCTGTAGAGACTCTGATGAACATGAGACCTTCTCTTTGTTCTTTAAATCAACCCGACGCAACATGACGTGTTCACATGCAGGTGAAAGGCTCTGAACTGTTGAGTGTTCATGTGTGAACAGTCACAGTTTGCTGCAGTGAAATCGGGTGTTGAAGAGTTCGTAGCTTTATTACTGGCCACATGATGGCGCTGTAGGGGGTTGAGATATTGATTGATGCACTTTACAATAAACAGTCAATAAATAGCCAGTAATTCAGTCTGAATCAGCTGCACATGTGAAAATATGAAGTGTGTGTCTGGAGGAAGATTCATGACAGAAAAAATCCACAGAAGAAGAAAAAATGTGTTAATGTTTAAAGATCTGGACTCGTCATGTCTGATGTTACCTGAGGTCACCAGGTGTTTTCAACATCACAGCCTCTGACAGTGTTTGAAGTCTGTTTCACAACCTGCTCTCTGTATGAACTGAACTCGGATCAGAGTGTAAATAACTTCAGTGCTCAGACTGTGACACGATCAACTGCGTCTCCGAGAAATGTTTCTGTTCAGCAGTTTATGTGTCACATGTAGAAATACAGAGTCCAACATGTGAGAGCAGAGATCTGATTAAACAGTCAAATAAAACACACCCAATAAATAAACCTAAAAACTATAGGACTCTACAGTATATTCACTGTATGTATAATATGGATCTGTATGTAAATCTATATACATATAAATTAGTGCTGAACAATTAATTGAAATATTATTGAAATCACAATATGGCCATGTGCAATATTCAAATCACAGGAGCTGCAGTTTTTTTTGTTAAAGGTAAAATGTGTCACAACATAAATGAAGCATTGTGTTTCTGCAGAGACGCCGGGACCACAGATCATATTCTCCACATGTAAAGGAACACCCAGCAAAAATCATACCATCAACATTTTTATATATTTTCAGTGAAAATGAAAAATGACCATTCACACTGAAATCATGACTCATGTCACAGTATCTGCCAAAATAATCACAATATGATTTTTTTGCATATCATTTAGCCCCAGTACAAAAGTAGCTGATCATTACTAGTTGATCATTATAGTGACCTGATGTTTGCAGTACAGCAGATAACTGTGATAATCTTTCAAATGTGGACACAAGCACCATATGTTTATTCCTCTGGGGCCATTAATTTTAAAAATCCCTTTAGCCACTTTCAATTTCAAGATAGCCGCAGTTTCCAGCACAGACTTTTTACCATCAGGCAGATTTAAATGATTCTGAAATTGAATCCTGTTTTTGGTTCTGAAGATGTTTCACAATTGTTAAACTACTTCAGGCATTTATTTGTCATTTCTAATATGTGAAAAATTAATAAAAAACAATGTAATTGCAAAACATTTACTATGAATGACCCAAAAGTTCAGTAAAAGTCGACAGTCTACTTGTTTCATTCAACCCTTAACTCTCTGGGCTCTATGCTCTATTTGTGTCCAGTTCACTTTCTTTTTTTTAACCATTTTAGCTGTGTTAATGCATATGGAATGAAATTTAACATCAGCATGTTTTTTGATTCTTCATTGTCAGTGTTGTCAGACAACATTTAAATATTTCTAGTATTTATGTTGTTGATTAAAGCTAACATAGAAATAGCCACACAATGCTGTACGTGTTTCTATTGTGAAGATTGATACCAGATGTGTTCTATAAAAACCATCAACAAAGTTAAAGCAAGAGATTCACAAATAACTTTATTGGACATTATAAACTACATTAATTTAAACAATTTACAACACTGGAAACATGTATAAAAGAATCTAATAAATGGATTAATTAAATACTGTAGTGTACAATTTACAATCAACTAACTATTTAAAATCAAAAAATAGTTGTGGATGAAGTTAAAGCTGAATTTCACTGTCATATGTAAGTTTGCTTAATAAAAAGAAGTAGTTGAATCAACAGTGCAACAGAATCTTTAGTGACAAGTATTTAAGGTAAACACAAGAAACTTGTGCTACAGAAAATGGAGCAGACTCAGTGAATAGCTCCCTAAGCTTAACATCCTAAGTCCTATGATAAGTATTAATTTAGCTATACAGACTAATGAGCAGTGATAACTAACATGTCTTTGGGGTCATCAGGTGGGAACCTCCTTTCACCAGTGTTTCGTCTAGTTGGTCCCACGACACCTCCAGGAGGCTAGACAGTGATCACTGGCGTCCCAGAGTCACTCCCCTAATGCCAGCCATCACTGCTCCTCACACCACGACTATTTTCTTTATCTTGCCTATGCTACCACAAACAACACCATCATCAACTCCGACAAAACACACCAGCAGATTCAGCAAACAAACTCCCCTAAACAATTGGAGAAAGTGGCGGCCCTTTTGAATAAGGGAGGTAGAGTCAAGGAGAGATGCCTTGTTGGGCTAAACTCTCCCCCGCCGGATTAGGCTGTGCTCTACCTCCCCCTACTCCCCCACTCTCCAAGACGATGAGGGAGGTAGAGTCAGGGAGAGGTGCCTTTTTGGGCTAGCTCTCCCCCGCCGGATTAGGCTGACATAACCATAACCTGGTTATGTCGCCACGTATACCGGCCTTGCGACAGACTAACCTTACAGCCTGACAAAATTGAGCTATACTTTTAAAGTTGCAGTACTTGAACCACCAATGAACATAGCAGCGTCTCCATTTACCCAGAGTTTTAGGTTCTTGGGGAGTTGCAATACATCATAAGTGCCCCTATCAAAAATCTAATACTACTTCCTCCAACGCCACAGCTCTTTCCAGCTAAGCTTTTTCTTGTCTACACCTTCCCAATTCACCCACTGTCCCTGCTTAGGCCTGAGCCACTGGCCTTTGCACCCCTTAATATTTCCTCCTGTCTACGAACCTGCTCCACAACTAGCTTTCTTCTTTCCTTTGGGACCTGCTCTACTCCACACCGGTTTGCCTCGGCCAAGCCTCCCCGGCCTATTTGGACATTTACCCACAATTCTCTGTATGCCTGAGCATTCTTCTGCCTCCTGCACTGCCATTCTTGGATTCCAATTTCTCCCTTGTATTGGGTTTGGAACCACCTTACTAACTACCACATCTTTACTCCCAGATAACAGGAGCTCTGTTCCTAACCTTGTATCATTTTAACTCCTCCACTAGACTAGTTACTGGGAGCTGAAGTATGCCTTTCCCATACAGTGCCACCGTACTTAAACATCTAGGAACACCTAGCCACTTCCTAATGTAAAAGCTAACTAATCTTTCCATTTTCTCTGCAGCAGATAATGGGATCTCATAAACAGACAGTGGCCACATCAGCCTGGGAAATAACCCGAACTGCAGACACCACAACTTCAATTTTCCTGGAAGCCCTGATTTATCTATTCTATCCAGTCCCTCAGCAACATCCTTCCGAAACTGCACTACCTGTTCTCCGTCATTCAAGTCTGCCTTGTACCACCTACCTAGACTCTTTACCAATTTTTCCCTAATTATTGGAATTTCCTCTTCGTCTATTACAAACTTCCTATCACTTAACTTCCCTCTACTTATTGAGATACTTCTAGACTTACTAGGCTTGATTTTCATACTAGCCCACTTTAAGTTTTTATCAAGTCTCTCAAGTACTCTTTTCATACATGGCACCGTTGTAGTTATCAACGTCATGTCATCCATGTAGGCCCTAATTGGTGTAAGGCGCATTTTACTTTCTCAGCAAAGTGGTTCCACAAAGGGTTTATATCTTGATGCTTCATGTGAGCAGTGCAACATCTACTGGCCTGAATGCAAAATGGGCAAATACAAACGTTTGTATGTCACAAATTGAATGTAAGTATAAGGGAAAGCATGATTGTATTTTATATTCCAAGCATAGATTTATATACTGTCAAAGCAAATCAAAATGTTTTATATGCATCAGATGTGTCAATATAAGTCAAGTTAAGCTCAATGTCTTTGTTTTAACTTAAGTGTCAAAACTGTAAGTTAGTTTGCAATGTGGGCAAAGAACATGTAGCTTTACTTTTAAATGTCAGCTTTGGTGGTTTTGCTGTAAAGGTGCAATATAAGATGTGGCCAGAACTTTAATTTAAAATGTTCAAATAATGCAGCCACAGTGATGTCATGATCAAGACCTCCATCTGTTGTATTTGTTGTGCACCAGCGAGCCCCGACCTGTCCTGTGTTGTGATACCACTTTGTGACACTAGACGCTGTGTGAGTCAGTGGTGCGTCAAGTCTACCCTCAGTCCCACGAAGAAGAACAACTTCCGGCAGCGCTTAAAGTTAGCATCACAGAAAAACAGGAATGACTGAACATTCTAAAAGACGATATTCAGCTGCATCCCGAAGGACCGCTCCCGACAAGAAACCACGTTCAATGGCAAAGAAAAGAAGCGACACGAGTAAATCTGGATGTGGCTTTAGGCTCATTTTGTAACTGATGACTGTAACTTGAGATTGTATGGACCCAGTAGACCGAGTGAATACACGTCGATTGCTTCACCATGTTATAACCACTTTACATTACTCTTAGGGGATCAGCTGTGATTGATAGTGCACTAGGTCTTTACATTTCTCAGGAGATTTCAGCATCCCTCTGTCTTTATCAGGACCTGAGCCAGTACAGATGCAGTAGCGCCTCCACCCGTCTCACCAATGGCAAAGAGTCCAGACACAGTGTGGAGGGTCTAGGTGAGTAACATGCTATCATTCACTTTTAACAGTAAGACTTGTCTATACCACTGATTAAATCAGACCCACAGTGTAAACATGTTCATACTGCTGATTCTTAATAATGAATATACCACTGCCTTTTTTGTTTTTTTTACTGTATATCCATATTTGTACTACTCAATGTGTTGGTTATATAGTGTGTGTACATTTAATTCTTATCACACCTCTTGTTGTTCACCCTTCACTTTCCTTGTTTACGTTTCATAATATTCATACTGTATGTATTTTTGCATATTCATATCTATCCTCACAATTTGTTATACTCACACAACAGATCTAACATGTCTGAATATAAAGAACTTGT